ACTTACTCTGTGTCTTAAAATGTGGGGCGTTTGGGGTTTTTTGGACTGCTGCTTTAGTTCTAGTATTTGCTTTTATTTTTGTTCATACAAATGCTTGAGAACAGGCTTCCTCCTCAATTCACATTGTTGTCTTGTCATGAGGAAGAGAACAAAGGAAATATAAGTGTTTTGAGTATTGTACTGCAGAATATCATTGTTATCATCTTTACTGTAGCATGGCAACATCTAGATGGTCTTTTTTGGTGCTTTGGGCTACCACGTGGCAGGAACTGTAGAGACTGCTTCAGGGAATGACTTCAGTCCCCAGCATCAGCAATACTTCATAAATGTGAAACAACTGGTTTTCTTTGGATGCTGCAATGGACAGTGAATCTGTGTACTTGTTTCAGAAATTCTGGCCATTATAATATTCCAGATTTTGAGCTGAAATCCATGTTAAGGCTTTATCTATACTTCAATCATTGGGCACAAGTCTATTAAGAAAACTTTTCTGCCTTCTAGAGTAGTAGTGCCTCCACCTTAAAATTTTTATGTAGCTGTTACAGAAGTTATTGGTGATACCAGCACATGCGTTTGCATGCTTTGACTTGCATCTATATATTACACCTGTCTGCCAGTCTCCATTAGTGGCAACCCACTGGGTGTTTTTGACTATGCTATCTAATGACTAAGGAATCAGGAATCAGAAAGATAGATGTATGGGGGCTCATAGAAGAAAGCTTTCTGAGGTTTTTTGCAGTGATAGTGCAGATGATTTTGTTTCCATATAAACAAGTACAGTGGACAGTGCAGTGGAACTTCTTAAGAAAGCATCTGAATTCCTTATTGATGCTATGCTTCCATAGCAATATGTGTGCCTGAGGCTTTTGGCTGGCTAGGACACTGCAGCTGATTCTAGCAGGAGATGATGTGGTCACAGTACACACTTCTGGCTGGGCTACAATATTATTACCTCTTCGGGCACAAAGTCATCTGCCCACAGGAGACTCCAGCTGTACGTGGGCTACCAAAAGCTATCCTGTTTTCTAAATTGAATCACCGTAGAGCACCACAGACAATGTCTATTTCTGTAATGTTATTTTGGTTTAAAAATATTATTCCCTAGGCAAAACATGATACTCTTTATAGGAGGCATATAGGAAGCAGAACTGTTGGGAGATCTTAAGTTACAGAACAAAACTAAGAAAATTTCAAACTGTTACAAGTTTAACTCTGCTCTGCTCAAAAGGTATAAATATATGAAATTGCCTTTTCTGCAAGCAAGTAATGCAACGTGTGTTATATTAGTAGGGTTGGGTTAAATTTTACAAATTTTACAAAACCAGCAAACATCTTTGGGCTTTGGAGGAAAAAGCTGAACTTAATTTTTCAATGTTTGTGGATTCACTAGTGACACCCACTGGTGTCTTAAACTTCTGAGATTCCAAAGGATGAAGGCTGTTGTAGAAATTTGAGTCAAATAGGAAAAGTAAGTTAGGATCAAAAGATGCTTTTGAATTGTAACTTATCCACACAATTTGTTGTAAGAAAATGCTGTTTTCATGATTGTTATTTATCTTTCCTGCAGTAAAGCAGCTAGTAGATACAGGGGAAGGAAAAAGAGCACATGTGGGGAGAAGGGACTCTAATGATAACTCTGCCCATTTTGGTGAAACATAAAATAAGCTAATAGGTATAATTAAGAAGAAAGTGTATTTAAAATTTCCAAGTTAACTTTGTAGACTTTAGTGAAAATGGGACCTGCTTACTGAAATTTTCTGTGCAGCTTCCTTCTCATTACTATCCTAGGCAATTTTTCAGTAACTGAGATTTTTTCAGGTTGTATTTTATAGTCTTCTTTATGAAAAAATAATACATTGTTGCAAAAGTGAAGTTAATTTTTTAGGGGGTAAACCAGCTTTTGTTAAACCTAATTGAAAATGCTAATCTGACTCTCATATCTGTGTGTTTCTGTACTAAGCATGAATGTTTGTCTCTTCAAATAAAATGTTTATCAAGCTGTAAAAAAACTCACCTTCAAAGACGAGTGTAAGGCAAGTGTAATAGAAAAAGTATAGGATGTTGAATGTGTTATTAAAGAAAATTTTTGCTTTCTGATTATGTTAGAAGTGAAAGATAAAGATACTGGTCTGAAGTAAGATTGTTTTACTTGAATCTTGAATATTTATCGTAATTATTAGTGTAAAAGTCTTAAAAGACTGGGAGAAGTCTTAATAGCTGGAAAGGGTAAAGAAAAAGATGGTATTCAAACAAGTTTGTGTATTGTTCTTCTCTAAAAATATGTTTAAGTCGCTGTTGTTCACAGGTTTTTTCCGTCTGTTTTTGTTTTGGGGATGAGTGTTTCTGGTTAGTTTGGCTTTTGTTGTTTTGTTTTTTTCTTTTTCCTGGCCAAATGGGAATATGTATAGAAGCAAGAAACAGAAGTAGTTGAATCCTTAGCAAAGTGATGAAAAATGTATTGTCTGAACTGTAATGCTGAAGAAGTAATACGTTTGTTCTTCAGCTTCTATGTTTTATAGTATTTTTCTGAATTTCTTGCTCAATATATTTTGAACAATAGAATTTAAATTCATAAAACAGATGTTGATGAAATTACTGTGGGTATGTAGACATCTACACTCCTCTAAATCCATTTTTCTGGACTTTTTTGGTGCGTTTTGTTTTGTGAGATACCCTGATTTGCTGACTTGTGGAGTGTGCTGACTAGTGGAGAGCAAAGGAGAAGGGATTGGAAGACCAGCTTGAAATGCCTGTGTATTTACAATATTTAGTAGAATGAGAGAGCTGTTAGGAATTTGTATTTTCTCTTGTTATATTGTATAATTAGACTTCCATTTGAAATTATTTAATAATTGAATTTAAAGGGCAGTGAAGATTGCCATTTGAGATTGGTCTTTTGACATTCTGCTCTCAGAAGCCTCATTTGAAGGCCAAACAATTATGAATAGGATATTGATGGGTTCTAGTGCCAGATTTTCATCCTAATAGTTTTACAAGCATTCAGACCTTTTTTTTTTTACTGGCAAGAAAAATTTTTGCAGGCTCAGTCTTAATTAAAATAAATACAAGTCATTACTTTGAGCACACTTTTTCCTTAAAAAAATCTTTAGAATTCTGCAAGATTTCGAAGAAAATCTGTTAGATTTTATCTATTATGTCTAAAATAATTCGCTTAACATTGTTGAGTGTTGAGTTACATTGTCAGCTTCTCAATTGTCTTTCTATCTGTTTGACATAAGCATAAATTTTTTCACTTGCAGTTTTGAGAAATGCTATCAAAATGTAGCATTTATGCTGAGTTGAACACATTTTTGCACTGCAGGAGTATAATATACATACTCTGGGTGACATTGCTAATAGAACCATTTGAGGTACTTAACTGCATGAATCATATAAAAATCCCAGTTGTGTAATTTACAATACTAATTCAGAGCTAAATTAATTTTACTTGCATTGTGGCACCTCTAATTGTAGCACAATGTTTTGCTATGGTGTACTGTTTAAAATCAAACTGAAGCTTGTAGTCTCCATGTTTCTTGTACTTGAGATCAGTTATATCAGCTATCTATTTTTAAGACTGAAAGTATGACACATTCATTTTGAAAAACATATAAGTGAAAATCCTAGAAAACACTTTCAAGTACATCTTTTATTTCATGTGAAAATACCCTGAAAATTGTGCAGCTCATGGTTTTATGGTAGATGCTCACAAATAATCATAACTTCATAATAAAGATAAATAAATCAAATCACTTACTAGCATGTGTGTTTTGGGGCGAGTGAAAGCAGTTTCTATATTTGAGGTTTCCACAATCGCTTTACTTCTGTTGGTTTTAATTAAAATTTTCAAGATTTTACTCTCACTTGACATAGTTGCATAAGTGGGGGGGCAGCGTGGATTTTGGCTGCCTTTGAAGTATAGAATTGTGAATTGTTTTTTCTTCCCCTCTACCTGTAATATAAAATATATACCTATAGATAAACTTGTGTGCACTCCCTCAAAATTACTACAAGAAGGTAAGTAATAACCCCTCTATCCCATGCTAAACATTAGCATGCTAAACTTTGGTTTAGATTCTGTTGATACAGTTGCACGCTACTGTTTCAAACAAGGGCTAGAGGGCTCGTTCTTAGTGTGGGCTGAAGGCAATGGTGCCTGCCTGCATGTGCTGTTTTCTTTGTACTTTCATGAGCTCTGGTATGATTCTGCCATTCCCCAAGCAGGAAAGTAATTATTTTTTCTTCACGTTTGCTTCCCAAAAATGGCTCATAGTGGGGTAAAATAAATTCTAGACCTGGTCAGATTCCAGGAATAAGGGTTAGGACTTCACTTTGCAATGACAATTGACTGATACCTTGTGTCAACTGTAATTGACAGCCATAATAATGAATTTATTTAGATACAGCACTTAACTAGTGTTCTCTGTGGTTTTATCCTGTTTAGTCTTAATAATTTTTTTTTTTTAAGTCTTTTATCTTCTTTATTGCTGTGTTTAAGATTCTGCATAGCACTTTTAACCATCTAGGTCATTAGCTATGAAGAAGAAATAGAATAACTAACAATATAGAGTTAACAAAAGTGTGAATCTCAAAGTTAGGGCTGTAGCTGTGCTTTTTTCCGTTTTTATTTTTCTTTATGTAGCTCTTGTTCATTAAAAGAAGATAAATTGCAAACTTTACACTGGTGCTATATTATAGATGCAATTTTGATTGAGAAGAGGGCACTAATTAGAGATGTTTCCTGTGGCTGTAATAACATGGGCAAATGAATTGTATTTAGACAGTGTGCACTAGTGGTTTAATTTTGGGGAATGAAAAGAGTGCAAATGTTTAATGATCACTTGTACATGTATGATTTTACAATCTGACAGTTGGCAGGGTAGTTGTGCTTTTCTGTTACCACCCAGATTTATAATTCGATTATCTAGTGTTTTCAGGAAATATTAATAGTCGTTAAAATATCTTAGATTAAGTTTGACCTTCATTGTCATTTCTTTAAGGTCCTATTGAATTTGAAGAATGTAACACATCCAGTGCAGTTGAAGGTGAGTTCTTGTAGCACAGTTATTAACGTAAGAATGGTGTGGATAAGGACCTGAAACTACAGAGTGAAGAGTATTCAGTGTGTGAATCTCTACAACTTCAAAGTACTCCAGTAGACTAAAAAGTGGTTTTCCTTGTGAGAAACAAACTTCAGTGTAAATAAGACCAATGGTACTCTATAAGCCTGATGCCCAAAGCTCAGAGAATTTTAATGTTTTTTATAAATATACTTTGGCTAAGATGCTGTCTTTGCAGAGGTTGGATTTGGTTCACTGATGACCATGTTGTAACTTAATTTACAAGTGTCAAAACAAGGCCCAGGCTTTTTCTATTGTTACCATATTAGTTATACCAAGTCTAATGCACTGTTATGGTCTCAAAGCCTTTCTTTGTTGGCACAGCTTATTTTGCTTAGGGGACTATTTTAAGTGATTAAGAACTGCTTTATTTGCGTAAACTGTGTATTTACTTTTGAGGCAGAGGAGTTGACAGTATAGCTATAGCAGCTGACAACTTTTAAGTTGCCAAGATCGCAGCTGAGACTTAAAATCTTTTGTGACTGAAGCAGAGAGATCCATGTTCAGAAACTACTCTCATACTCTTTTTGTCATTGTTTTGAGCAGCATAAGGCACAGAAAGAAAATAAAGCCCAGACTAACATTTAAAAATAATTTTGGAGCAAATACTGTCTCTATTGAAATATAAGATATGGCTGAGTTTAGAGTTACCTGATTTGAGAAGTTTTGAGTTATTTAAACCTGAAAATTTCTAAGAGTGGAGAGAGACATTATGTGCTATATAATGTATTTCTGTAAAGGGGAATATAATTATTTTTTTAATGATGTGCTTGAATTGACAGTTGTTAGATTTTGGAAATCAAATTATTTCCACCATTTTGCTCAAAAGCATGCTGTCAGTAGTATCATACATCAAAACAAAACTGTAGACTGGCTGGATCAGATACTTGAACTTAGTCATTTTGTTTGGCAGTCTACGTCATTTCAGCAAAAACTGGGGAGAGGAGCAGATGTGATAGCAAGTCTGATGGAATATTTACCTGTATTTTAGTACATTAAACAGTTATGAAAGTAAACTTTTTTTTCTGTACTATAGCTGTATATATCAGTTCTAAAAATGGGGAAGAAACAACAGAGGGGAGGCATGGTTCCAGACTCAGTGACAGCCGGCCTTAGAGTTAACTACAGCGCTGCGAAATCATGAAATCAGCATCAGCTGGAGAGCCAAGAGACGTTCTCTTTTTTTTACAGGACCACGATCCTACTTCTTAGGAGAGACAGGGGCTTGCAGCTACATGCAGGACAATAACAATAGATGTTGAACCACAGTAGCTGGGAGAGGCAGGGTTCACTTTCTGATCCAAGTGCATTGGCTATTTGGGGCTGACTGGAGCAATAGCTCCTGATGAGTTTTTGTGAGCAGAGTCCATTTCCTTCAAACTGGCAGTAATCCATTTTCTATTAAAGTCACAGTCTGCATACTCAACTTGAAGAGTTAGGTGTACAATGCAAAGCAGTTTTATAAGGACTTAGTTATTAATGTGTTGAACCTTATTTTAATTTAATTTTTTGATTGGTATATTATTTAACAACAAATTGGAATAATGTTCCCTGAGTTTGCCTCTATGCCTATCTCCACTGTTACATTTTTGTATCACTCATGACAGCATTTAAAATATATTGACATCGGTAAGCACCTATGTTTTACATTGCTAATACGTACTTACCTCTTTGATCTTTAAATGAAAACAGTTTGTTCCATAGGAATGAAACCACGGAAGAGGAAGCCTTTTGGTTTATCAGGAATAATGAAAAAAGAAAAAGATACTGAATCTGTGTAAGTATGTTTGCATCTTGAAGCCTTGTCTTGTATGAAAACTAGTGGAAGTATGGGGATAAATATTAGCTGATTTTTCCAAAAGAATGGGTTTATAACAGAAGTTTAGAAGTACGCTGTGAGTATCAAAATGTCACAGCTGTTTACGATTTTTGTACCTAATGATTTTAAGGAAGTAACATAAATGTATTCATAGTAGTGTACTCATGTTTCATTGTTTCCTGTGCATATGTAAGTAGGTCTCCCTTGGTTGACATTTGAACATTGTAGATAATGTAATTTTCATGTCTACTCCTAATAAAATAATGGAAAAAGTACTGGATGCCTATGTTTGCAGAATTGAAGCTTCAGTTACTCTTTTATTAGAAAAACTGTTTATGTATAGTATCAAAGGACAGAAAAATCTTTGAATATTTTTTCAGTACATCATGTACACACTCATTTCTGAAAGTCCATCTTTCTAACTCATAACTGATGTCCCAGCTATACCGTTTGCTGTATCCATTGCATGTGCTCTGTCTCCCAGGAGTTAAAACTCGCCAGAAAGTGAGTTTGAATAAAAGGATTGGTTGCAGTCTACATAGTAGTCATGGTCACTATATTCCAGTGTATTTTTTTCATACTATCTAGCTGTGTTTTCACAATAGGAGTATTTGATTTAACAGAAAATAACTTATAGTTTGACAAACATAGCAATATAGAAATATTCTGAGGCAACATATACATACATACTTTAAAATCACCTCAAAAAAAAAATTTACCAGCCTTACCTTTTAATGTAATGCTGAAAAATTAATGATCTAAGAACTACAGGTGCTAATTACTTGCATATAGCTATTTTTCTTCTTGTGTTTAATTTTAATAGTGATACACTTCTAAACCATGCTTTTTCTTCTCTCTGTCATGCCTTTAGAGCTACAAGGTGGTGTTTTCTTAAGTAATTTCTCTGTATTTCTGTTCTTTCTGTGATTTATTCTTTCTTACACCCTCTCTTCTGTACTTTATTAAGCTGGAGTAAAGAAGTGTTGTATATAGTGTGATTTTGGTCAGCAGTAATCTGAGAGTACTATTCTGTTACAAATAATTATTTTTTCCTGATGAAGGTTTAGTTTACAATTATTAAATTAAAATGTTATGGATATTTGATGATATTTGTGTTTTAAACAGCTTTAGTGCCCTTTTAAGAAGTAATCCATTCTCTCTGGAAAGTTATTTCCAGATACTACATTTTTTTTGTGGGTGATGCAAAACTGTTGCAGTATCAAATAGCAAGGAAAAAGTATGTTCAGTCACTTGTCTTTTGTGTCTTGAATATATTTAATTGCAGAGTAGTGATTTTGGTAGTATTGAGTACTGTTGAGTGATTGAATTCTGTAGCTGTCACCTTTTCTTGTCTAACAAAATGATTATTTTGCCACCACATGAGTTATTACTCAAGCTAATCGCATGTCATGTATGTTATAAGCCTCCTTTCAAACCATGCATCTTTTTCCATCTATTCTTTGGTGGATGATGAAATGTTGTCTGGCCCCAGCAAAGATTTACAGCTATTAAAAGTAGTTTTGTGGAGTCAGTAAAGGTCCAGAACCTCCAAATTAACTCTTCTCAGGTGTATGACTCAATGTATCCATACTCAGAGGTCATGATGGAAAAATTTTCTTAGGCACTGAGGGCTGAAAAATGGCTTCTATAGTGTATGAAACACTTTCTACCTTTGTATGCTTATCCATTGTAGTTTTCTAAAAGCTGCTTTTTTCCCAAAGAAATTTTATTTAACATTGAAAGATTGTATCAGTTTCCCTTTCTAGAAAAAAAATTTGGTTTTCATATCAGAAAATATAAATCAGCTCAGTTATCCTGAAATGGGAAAAAAAATTGCCTTGCTTTCAACAAGTTGGACTGAAATTTGATTTATTTTGTTTCTGTATTTACACACAATACAAAAGTGAATAGATTATGAAGTTAGAAAGAAACAAGCATAATGGCATGATACTGACTTCCTACGTAACACATGCCATAGGCTTTTACAGAGATTCTTGCATTAATTCATAGTTTCTAAATTAACAAGAACATCACAAATAAGTAACAAAGGATTCATTATGTACTTAAGTAAAATATTCTGATATGATCTCTTTTAAAAATCTAATTGCTAGTCTACATTTTGTCTCATTTAATCTTCAGCTGATGATCCTGTACATGATGAAACGTATCATGAGAAACTTTTTGCACATAGAGGTTAAGTCCTTTCTGAATTTCTTGTTAAATTAAGCTTTAAGCTTTTTTAGTTTGTGTAGGGCAGGCTTTCCACATCTAGAAAAACTCTGATGGTTTATAGGCTTTTCAGTTTATCAGTACAGTTTTTAAAGTGTTGACACATAAGCTGGATGTTATGTCTAGTAACAGTTTTACACAGAAAAATACCATACACAGGGTATTCTGTTACATAATGTTGTTATACAGGTTAGTCAAGGATTTTGCTTCTTTTTCTAACCACTGCTTTGCATGAGTTGGTTGTTTTAGTTTTCATCTACAATCCTTAAATTTCCTTACAGAATCCCCATTTGCTGAAATGTTACCTTACACTAGAAGCATGACCTATTTCTTTAGTCTTAAAAGAAAGATCATATATCTAGTGATGTAGAAGCACATTTGTCTAGAACCCAATGTCATCATTTTTCAATTCACCAGCACTTGCAAACTGCTGAGTTTTCCTTTTTAACTTAAATCTTCTTTATGAGCTGAACGACTTTCATTGTAGTTTGCCTCACAGCTTTCACATTTCTTAATTTTAATTGACTTCAGGCTGTCTTGTTTGAGTACGCTTTTTAAAAACTCATGTCTGAAAATCTGATTGTTGTATCTTTTGAGAGAAGTCTAGTGCTTTGTCTTTTCAAGATGTAAAATAGCTTTTAAAACAGCTCTTTCTATTGCTATGAATTCAGTTTAGCCAGCAGAGGGAGATAAGATGTAAGTCAATTAGAAACTTGGCCACATATATTTTATTTTGTGTGAGGCCTTTCAGAGGAGATGGCATCCTTCATCTCACTGTCAATTCCTTAACAGGCTGTACTGAATTTCTTATTCATGTTTCCATATTAGCAGGTTTTTGTGCCTGTTTTTATAGACACTATAGTTTTTACATTTGACCTGTTTAGCCTTCTAAAGAAGATGATGTAGATTGCAATAAATTGGGGGGGTTTCCCCTCTTTTTTCTATAAGCGTGTGTTTAGGGTGTTCAGTCTGATTATATAAAAACACTGTTGTTCAGTTACACTGGCACTTACAGTTTCATTTGTCAAGATGCAAATTAGAGAGAACTTATACGCTACTCAATTATTCCCACATTCTGTAAATGTAACTGCTTCTGCTTTTTGCAGACATCAGAGAGAATCAGTGTCATTCATTTTATTTAAATACTACTGCTTAAATCAAAGTTATAGTGGAAAAATATAACACGTGAAAAATGTGCTTGCAATCACTGCCTTTCTGCTGACAACTGTTTGGATTTTTTAAGTGTTTATTAGGCGGGTATTCTTATTTTTTCCAACATCTTCTAGTGCTTGACTGGAACTGTGCTTGGCAGACATGAACGAGAATGAAAAAATTCTCTCTTTTAGAATTTCATAAACAATGAAATTCTAAAAGAGAGAAGCTCTGAAATCCTCTAAGAATAGCCTTAATTTCTTTGGGAACTCGTTATTGTCCAAAGTGTTTTGCAACTGCATGTGGACTATTTTATTAGCAATGGTGACTTTTACTTACTGTGCACATCAACAACAGAGACCTGTCTCTTAAAATAAATTCATCTAGAATACAGCATGGTACTCCTGGCTTCCCTTGATATTTTTTCTTTTTTATATCTTGTGAGTTTACTTTTTCAGCATTCTTTAGAGCTTTTCTTCCGTGGTGTTTTGAACATAAACTTACCACTTTTATTTAAATGTCATTCAGTTGAATGTTGATTATTTATAACAAAAATTTAACAGAGTCTAAGAGGCAAAAGGATCAAATGTAGTGTTTCAAATTAATTGAAAATATTAAGTGGAGTACCAGAACTGTATGAATAAAATAATTTGTACATTTTATGATTGTATATTTTCTCTTTTCTAATAGGGAGTGTCCAGATGCAGACTCAGTTGTAAGTAGACTTACTTCCAAAATAAATGCATATGCTAATATTTTCAAGCACTACAACCTGATGAAACAATTTATATACAGTCCCTGCTATTCTCATCTGATAGAGGATGTAGTATTATGATAACATAGTCAAAGTGTTAACTTTGCTCAAAACATAATCTTTATTAATATATACAAATATGTGTCAGTATACATTTATATTTCCTAACAATTTTAGTTTTTAAATATGGTGTTTTTACTGCAAGTATTTACTACTTTATTTTTCAAGTTAGTTTAAATTGCTTAGCTAGTAGATTCTAAGTAAGAAAAAGGTTCAGTTTATTGTGGAACAAACTTTGCATCATTATGTTTTCCTGATACTGTTTCCTCTGAGAAATCCTTCTAATATCAGTGGGGTTCTGCTTTATCACTGGCAATAGAGTGTAGGAATATAGTTCTAAAAATAGGTCTTTAAATGCAGTATCTCTAGATGCACTTTATTAATGGCCTGGTTTTTATTGCTGTCAGTTTGATCTGTGATACATATTACAATTTTATTTATTAAATTCAGGTAAGTGACAGTTGCAAATTAAATTGGTATGTCAATGCTTTTTTAGTTCATTAATTGAGCCATTTTCTTTAAACATGTATGTTGTCTTGAATTATATGTAACAGAGACTGCAGCTCCCTTTACCTATAGTAAGGAATAATATAAAGTAACAATAATTTAAGTGATTTTCTGTAGACTGATTGGGTTTTCAGTTCATTTATTTAGATGCCAATTATATTAAAGAATTTAAGTTTCCAAGTTCACCTGTTTTGCAGATTTTCTTCTATCTGGGAGTTTTAGTACCTAATATTAAAATTTCTTTTGAGAAACTTGCTTTAAAAAATCTTGTAGAACCATTCTTCTAAATAAGGAAAAAGAAAATTTGCTACTTAATAGACCTATATGTGTAAAACCAGCCTTGTAAGCATCACTGAGGCAGTTATTTTATCCCATGCAAGGTCATCTTGATTTAGAGCAAATTTCTTGGGTACATTTAAAGTGATTTTAGAATTATCCCTATGATTATCAGGCTTTTAATGGAAATTATATGTTTTGACAGTTCAGGTTTTATCACTGGAGTGAACCACAGCTGGGTTTGACTGTGTTTAATTTCTTCTTTGCTTATCCTGGTCTCTATGTTTTTTAAAAAATAATTAGTACGAAAAACTCAGCTGTAAATATGTATGACATTCTTTCTGGCTCCATAATGCACACCATATGATCATCTGAGTTAACTACTCTGTCTAAGTGTAATTTATATTTGGGTTTAAAAAAGGACTTTAACAGTGTCTAACAACAAAATTGATACTTCATTGCATTCTCTTTTTTTTTTTTAATGCCCAATATTTATGGCTGCATTTGGAATTTAAAATCTGGTCTGTAATTTCTTCTTGTTTTTTAGAAGCAACAATATTATCCTGAATGGTACAGTGCTTTAATAGCTGAAGACATTAATGTAATTCCTGTGAAAATTTATGCAGCATACCATAGATGAGATTCATTTCACCCCTTACAAACAAGCACTCCAGAGTACCTTTACATTTTAAGATTGGCGTCCTCTTCTGGAAGGTCCCTTTGCAAATGTTTTTAATTTTTCTTGGTTTTTACTTTAAGATTTCCTTTCTATTTAATATTTCAAACTTGATCCAAATAGTTATAGCCATCTATATTGTTATCTCTGTGATCTCTGTTATCTGTTTTGTATGGATCTTTGCAATAAATTACACATTTCAAGAAATTGAATTTGGAGAAGTATTTTAAAAGTATTTGGAAAAGTATTGAAAAAGAAAATGAAAGCAATTATCATTTGTGTTTGATTGCTAGAAAATACCAAGGACCAGTCCTCAGAAAATTCAACTTATTTAAGGTGTCACAATTAAGGTTTTGGTCAGCTTTGGTCACTCACAGAAAATATCTCTCTGGCTTTTATATTATTAATATTATTAATTATTATGATGGGGTTTTTAAAGGTGACATTTATTTGTTAATTAATTTGTCAATTAATTGTGTGAAAGGAATGTAAGAGATAACCACTCTGCAATTATTTATAAGCACTGAGGTAAATAGATTGAAATTTTAAAAGTTAAGGATCCTGTAGGAACTGACTTCAGTACTTTATTAACCACTTCTGTGTGACATGTGGATCTTTGAACATACAGTGTGTAGACAATACCATTAGAGCCTTCTCACTAGTCCAAAATGTATAATGCAGTGTGTTCAACGTGTATTCCCTGTTTCCAGAAATCAAAACGTGGTCCAAACGTGTCTTTTGTGCCAAAATGTAAATTCTCAAATTTATCTGTGGCAAGCTATCCACTTATGCTCATCCTTCCTGTAGCTGCCAGATTATATATATTGGAAAATGTGATGCATTTGAATTGTTAATTCCTATCAATAACTTTTTGTAACTATAAGAGGTTTTTATGTGCTCATGAGTAGGAAGGCAGCTGGGAACTGGGAAGTGGTATTTGTTAAAAAGGTTCACCACTTCAATAAGCAGTCTCTGTTTAAATACATATGACAGTATGTGATGAGATTTAAAACTCCTGTGTTATACATCAATCCACACATGTAACTTCCATTAAGCTAAGCCTTGATAATTAAGAAAAGTAAAAAGATAAGTGTACACTAGAGATAGCAACTAAAGTCTGGCTCTATATGTGTTTGTTACTTAGCAAGTTTTTTTAAACGCAGAATTTCCCATGAGTTTACCATGTCTCTAGGGATGGTCTGTAGGAATATATGAGCTGTAGTAGAAACTTTTCTTTTGAGGAAGGATATACAGTGTTCCACTTGTGTTCAGTAAGATCTGAATTTGGATTGCAACTCTTCCCTTGGTTGGGATACTTGCAGATAAACTTCTTCTACTTGACTGCCTATTTTCATGAAGACTGTAGTAATGTAATTATCTTTGAGTCCTCTGTTCTGTCTGTCAAATCCATTTGAAATTGTCCAGTAAGTTCAAAAGTAATTAAGAAAGGAGCCACAGATGCACAGAACATAATGCTGCAACTTTTTTTCATAGGAATGGAAGCAAATATATTGAGGCATCCAAAATTTTTCATTAACCTCTTTACATATGAGTGTAGTGCAATTGCAGTTGTATAGAATTATACACCATTTTTGTTATTTTTATTGCTGGGGACTGATTGAATTTGGAACCTTCAAACTCTAATTAGTGGAACACAAGTATAACCTTATATTTACTGAAATTCGAATGCTTTTCTTTATTTGTGTTTTGTAATGTTTAATTCTGACATATTTTGAATAGCTGCCATTGATACAGGGTATGAGGCTTTGTCGTCACAACACAGCAAACGGGCACTTTGAACACATATTTTTCTTTATGTATCTCTGCAGTGAAAGAAACTGACTGGCTACTTTCTTCTGTGTCTTTTGAATTAATAGGCACCCTAAGGAGAGGAGTCTAATAATATGTAATACCTCTGTCTTAACCTAAGGATATACCTGCATCAAATTTACGTCTCAAATATATCAAAAGTGGACAGGCTCTTTTTTTCTCTTCTTCCAGGCTATGAGCTTCAGTTGCTTACTTTGAGTTTGCTTTAGTCCTCATCTGGATTACAGGAAGTCAGTCCAGTTCAGTAAAATGGTAGAAAGTTCCTCTGGCAGAAAAAGAAAGAGTGAGCTGTTCAGTTGTGCTGTCTCTTGAAGCATACACTGAGGAAACCTTGATAAGCAACTCTCATAACCAGTGTAGATATCCCAGGAGAAGATAAAATAGACATAAATCAAGCTGAAGTGCCGTGAAGGTTCTTTGCTTCTTGACCGATGATCAACCTGTTAAGCAGTGCTAACATTGCTGATGCAGGGCCAAATGAAGTAACTAGACTGCAATATGCTCCGCAGGTTCCTCTCTTGGCCGTCGTATGTAGCCCAGAGGAACTAATGACATGCTAAGGGTGTGGCTTCTTCCATTGCTTTTGCATGACAGATGGGAGAGAGCAAGGAAACTGAGACAAAGTATTCACCAAAACTCAAAAAATAAGTTTTGGCAATAGAATGCCTAGTCCTCATGCTTTTTGTATAGGCAGTTTTATTTTGTTATTTATTATGTTTTTATGTTTTATTTCTTCAAAAAATTATTCACTCCATAAAGTTCATAGAACACACAATGCAAAGACAGAGTTATAAGCCTAAATTTTTAACATATATTTAAAACTATGCAATACCTTACTTAATAATGTGTTGTGTTACATCTGCAAACACAGATAAAACTGTGGGGTTTATAGCTATGTGTTTCATTGCTTAACAGACCCTCTGAGGATGTGAAACCTTCTTCCATGGAAGTCCTCCTTTCCAGTTACTTCCACAGAGTTCAATTTACATCTATATTGAGTTGTTGTGTTTTTTTTAACTGCAAAGGCTACAAATAAAGTGTTTGGGTAGGGGACTAGACAAGACTTTCATTTGCATTGTATTAATAACTACTTCTTATAGAAACACAGTTTGCAAAGATGATCTTCCTCTGTGTTGGAGCTTCAAAATTACACGCATACAATAAGGTTGTGGTTTTCTCCTCTGACCAACATGGTAGGCAAATCAGGTCTTGTCTGTATGGTGTGCCTGGTACTTAAAAGATACATTGTTATCTGCAACATAACATACAGTTCTGTAGAATTACGGAGAAGAAAGTGTGAATTAGACAAGTGTATGTAAATGCCTTCATTAACATCAGATTCATGAATATGTATCTCTCTCAAAATGCTGTGTCCTCTACCACTGTTACAAAATGTAGACTAGTAAATACAGTTGATGTTTCAGAAAGCAGAACCGTTCACCTGTTCAGCATTTCAAAATATTGAAAACAATATTTTGAAATTACTATTTAACTGGTAAGTAAGATTTTGAGGTACTACTTGCTTTGATACATCGAGTATCTCGTCCACCCTTTTCTTCTGCTGGTTTACACAAAAATGTAAATTCAGTATCTCACTAATGAAAGTAAAAGGTATAAGAATGATCATAAATTGGTACAAGATTTATCTCAATTTGGTAAAATGCCATTGCTGAGGAATAGATTCAAATACCTTTGCAAGATAAGAAATAATTAACATGAAAATATTAAGAAATATATTTAAGAGCTTTTAAGATATTAGTGCTAAGGATTTACTAGCTATTACTTGGTAAATTAAAAATAATGGAATGAAGAGAACTTCTGCATACTAAGTTCTTTCACAATTTTATATCAGAATAGTCAGATTTGCTAGTAATGTTGTGCATGCTGTGTGTGCCTCATAATAATATCCTTTACATATTTGGCCCAGCTGGAAGAAAAACTAAATGTTGTATATTTAAAGATTTTTGTTGGTTTTTCAATTCATTTTAACTATAAATGATCCTGATCTGTTGAAAATTGCCTAGCATAACAACTAAAAATATTTCAGAATTTGGAACTTGTAGTACTGTAGGAAAATTTACCTACCCTCTAGCTATATGATTTGTTCTGTTTACTTTGATGTCAAATTTCATTAGTGTTTGTTGGTATATAAACAAGGTCAACCTGAGGTCAAGCGTAGCTAAGAACCCTGATTTGAGCAAGTAGAGCTAAGGTACTGGACCGTGTGATCCTACTCTTACAACTTTTTTTCTGTTCAGTTCCTTACCTCCTCTTTTTTTTTTTTTTTTAATCAAATAGTGGTGAAGTCCAGATCTTACAAGTATTTCAAGGAATTGTATCTATATGTTCCATATTTTAAGGTTTGAGCTTAAAAGTTATTTTTTGGCCTTAGTTTGACACGCTGTTTAATTGGGTACAGTGTTACATCTCCTATACAGGATTGTATTTTTAAGTCTTTTTAGCAGCAAGTTTGGTCTATGTTTAAATTCATTCCATTTAATTCAGAAGTGCTAGATTTAGAGAGCTGTACAAAAGAGAATCTTTCATAGTAAAATATCAGATATCCTATTTGTGGTATCTGTGATAGGAATAGAGGGACAACTACATATGTTTATGTTTATCTTCCTCTATAATTCAAAAGTTATTCAAAGTGAATATCTTTTTAAATTTGGCTTCAAATTTTAGGTGAAGTCAAGTGGTTCCTTGCTAATCCACTTGAAGTCTCCAGTGTAAGTCATTTTGTTATATCTCATGACTTATAACAGAAAAGTATATTTTGGCCATACTGTATATTAGTCAAACTGCCTCCCAGTACCTACTGTCTGGTAGTGTATTGTTTAATACACTAGGAAAAAAAAAAACTTTTTTTGTATGAATCTTGTCATTTTTGTAAGAAATTTATAACTGCTGATATCATTACATTTTGAAGGCACTTGGATTGTGTTTTTTTACAATAAACTTACTGAGGCATTTGAGCACTTCATATAGACTAACTGCATACAAAATCATGAGTAAGCTTTTATATTCTGAATGGGGAGAGTATCTGTGTATCAAAGTTTACCCCTTTTATATATAATATAAAGGAGTGTGGGGTTTTGCACATTTTTAAAATTTATTTATTTTTTAGAGACTTATTTCTCTCTGCCCCAAAACTTTTTTATGCAACTAAGTGCTTAGCTAAGTATTCTAAATGATTTTAACATAATTCTCTTCAATTTATGTTTAATTGACTGCAAGAACTGAAAAAGAGAACTAGTCTGAAATTCCCAGATGCTTATTAGCTTTGAACATCCAGGATGGTGCTGGAGATGTGTAAAGGAAAACTTTGGAACCTGGTTTGGAGCACTTGTATTTAAGTTTGATCCATAACTTTTAATTAATGTGAATATTTGCTAAAGCAATAGTGCACACTTGCTGCCTTTTTAAGTTTCAACTTGTGTAACCTGGAATACTTTTACTCACATATTAAAATACTGATTAATACTTAGGAAAGGTTTTGATCCTGCACCATCAGAGCCTCCAGTGACTTAGCTGAGAGAACTAAAAGTATAAAATATTTGGGGCCAAGAGAATTGTAGGCTTATTTAACAGTAATAAAGCTAAAATGCTTCTTTTGGTTTCTGACCTTTTTGATAGCTTACCAGTAAAAGCAGATGCATTCAAACTTGCCAGTTCTTATAGGAAATTTGGAGGTTGTTCTGTTGTATTTTGTTCCTGAAGTATCTTGTCATGCTACTTCTGAACTACAGATCATAACTTGAGATAACTAGTAATTAATGATGAATAACAATGACTTTCATGAGCTGTCATAATCAAATTTTAATTTGTCAATGATATTAAATCTGATCTAAGAACAACATTTTTTGTAATTTGTCAATATCATAATTTCTGTTGTTTTTAGAATATTCCTGATGTAGATGATGAAGGATACAGCATTAAACCAGAAGCAACACAGGATATCCTTTTCACTGTTATTGTGCCAAGTTATTTAATGTTACTACCATTTGAAGAGAGGAAGTAGTAATTAAAGTGTTAATTAAAGGGAGATGAATGACTTTCATGCTTATGTTGCAAAGTTGTATTCTTATGTTCATAGCTTTTGGAAAACATACAAAATTTTGTCTGTCTTAGATTTTGTGTGTGTGTAAATGTTAAAGATTAGATCAGATGTCTTTGGAACTCTAGAGAATGGTTTGTGTCTGACAGTAAAAACAAAACAGAACAAAAAGCCTGAACAAAAGCTTCAAGGTGACCATGTTGATCTTTATCCTTGAAAAGCTCTCAGAAAGTTTCTAAAGTTTGTAAACTTTTTTAAGCATACAGAGTGGTTATTGGTTCTATATCTGTAACCTCCCACTTATTTATAACACCATATGAGAGACTGAAATGTCCTATGACTGTCTCAAAGCTTGCTTGTGTCTGTGCAAACCTCCAAGAGAAGCTGCTGCAGCCTGTGAATTGGTCTGGGGGGTGTCACCCAGAAACCCTCCCTTGACATTGGATCAGGACACACCATTAAAATGATAGGGAGGTCCAGCAGTCTAGAAATAGAATTTCTGTTACTTAGTGAAGTCATTAGACCACATGCTGCTTCTAATTGGTGCTTCTAGCTTGTATTGTCTTTTTAATAATAGCTCTGATATGCAGCATAGATTTTCATTATAAGTAATTTTTTATGGATGCTTGTGATTTTTTTCTGCTCTTCCTTTGAAAGAAAAAAATTATTGTCCTTTTTCGCCCCCATCAGAAGCAGAGGGAAGCTCTACTACTAGGAATAATGCTGTAGATCTAAGCAAGCCTAATATGTTAGCCAATTAGCAAATAGCTAATTTTTGGAAATGTATTCACTGAATTTTTGGGGTACTGCAGATAAAAGGTAGAGTTACATTTTGCAATTACCTTAAATTGTGAAAACTTATAAGCAGTTAACAGCACCTTGAAGTGGGCCAGTCCATCATCACAGCTTCTCTGTTTTCACCAGCCTTGCAGAATATGCCTCTGTTGACCCAGTGAAGATTCCTGTACCGATAAAAGCAGTTTGTGTTATCTCCTATTTACAAAACAGATCTAAAAGTGAAATGGTTTTATTCAGTTCTTAGAGGGACATTATTTCATGCTTTGCATGTATTTATGAAAGGGAGAGAGGAGTGAACTACGTTCATGCTTTGTAAGTTATTCATCTGGGCATCCTTTTCTGCATTATCGTCTATGTTGTGAAACAATCAAAAAGGCCATACTTTCAGTGAGAAAGCTCAATGATTTGCAATCCCAGTCAGCCAGGTAATACTTCAGCTTCTGAAAATCTTGACTGGATTCAGGAACTCAGCAGTTCCCTTCTTCTTTTCTCTATTAGCCTCCAAGAATGGATATTTATTCTGTGGATGGGAACTCTTAAGATGATTTGTTGGAGGACATTATTTTACCATAATGGCAGTCAGTCTTAATAAGTCTAGTCTTAAATGTTGGAAGAGCACTTTACAAGAGTTGTCTGATTAGTAGGAGATGAATCTTGAAACTTTCAAGACATCTTTTCATGAAATGAAAAACAACTTGTCTTTGAAACATTCTTTTTTAGATATGATTCATTTTGGGGGATGGATAGGCTATAAGATGAAGACACTTGATTTTTTTCCTCACCATGGCTCAGAGATATTCAGTTGAAATGGATGTGGAATGTCGTTTGGGTTCAGGTTTTAATCTTTGTCAGGGCGTAGTTTGAAGAGATTTAATTCAGATGTCTGGCATATTTCCAAGTGAAAATAGCAGAAGCAAGTTATATAATATGTATGCTTCCCTTAGGTGTTTAAGTAGAGAAAAATTTTCAAATTATTCCTTGTCAAAACAATTTCGTCTTTTAAGACTTAGCATAGGCCTTTCATAAGTTTTATTCAGTGCAGCTCCTGTGCATATAAAGAACCAAGGCTAAATTCATCTGTATATGTTGCTTAGTTTGAGGACTGAGTTGTCATTGTGATTCCTTTTTTGCCAAGGACCACAGTGCTTCAAGCAGCTGACATTGTTCAGTTTACTGTGCAGCCTTCTATGTAACTGGTAAGTTCTTGCAAAATTTTCAGTGCCACTCTGTGAACGGTGACTGTTGCTGCTTCTTCCTGTACTGTTAATGCTTGTACAGGTACAATGAGCATTCTACTGCTAATTAAAAAGGCTAGGGCTTTCCTTCACTTGGTTTAAAATAATTTCTACATTTTTCATACATGTGTTAAAATCCCTAGTTGAGTCTTACAAATCATAAATTTAACATGCAGAACTGTTGCTACTGTCAAATCTTTAATTTATCCTGATGCCTTTGAATATGCAGTTGTTTAGTTATATGATATTGTGCCTTTCAGAACACAAGAACAACATAATCACAAAGATTAATGGAATATGAAAAATAATTTAAACTCTGAGTTGTGAATTTTGGACAGTGGATTTATTTGAAGTTTCTGCATAAATACACAAAGAGGTTAGGCAGCATTTTGTCTGTGGTATTCACTTAATATGAGCATTTTGTAGAGCACATTTGTGAAGTGGATTAAGCAGATTAATTCTGAAGTATTTCCACCTTAACTGAGAAAAACATACCAAAGAGAACCATTTCTATTCATCCAGTGATTCTGACTCTGAAGATGATGAACCTAGGAGGTTCCATGTAGAAATAAAACCTGTCCAGCCAAATAATAGTTCTCAATATACCATGCCTTCCTTGGATGAATTAAAAGTATCTATAGGAAACATCACTCTTTCTCCAGCAGTATCTGTAAGTTATTTCGTTCCTTTTAATTTTAATGCATAGGAGAGAAAAGTGGTAAAAGAATCTGTAGTGTAAATGTATGTTTTTATTGTTCAGGTTTTATTCTGTCTTCGAGTTCAGTGTTTCTTTTTTTCTTGTGCATTAGGTCATCTTTTGTACACTGTATTGCAGTGTACCAGTGAACTTTTCTTTGAGTCTTGGGAGTGCTCAGCCCTTGTCTTTCTACTGTTGCCACCACAAGACATGTGAATACATTGTGGAGTTAGCTGAGCATGACCTTTAACATAGTTTACTAATTAGTATTCAGTAATAAAGAAACCTTTAAAACAGACCATATAATATAGATACATGTAACATTTGCAGTGCGTCTTTGCTGATATATTCTGCCAATCCACAGAATGATCCTTTATGCTATGAGATGATATTACAAATAAATAGTATCAACATACACTAGTACAATATTCAGATCAGAATAAAAATGGCTCTGATTTTAAGGAAAATATTGTGCATAACATATTAAAATAATAATTATGATTTTTCTCTTTTTTTCCCCCCACATTTTGAAAGCAGAGACACAGTCCTGTAAGTACAGAATGGCTTTTCATTCACACTTAGATTAAAACCAAGTAAGTGTAGTATGTGAGAAGAGTTACTAGGAAAATCTCAGGAATGTTTCTTTTCATATATACCATGTGATATATAAGCTGTTTAATTTTACTGCCCCAGCCTGTAAAGGGATTTAGTAATCCTGCTCCCTTTGTCAGCTCTACAGTGTTCGTTCCCTGCCTTTTCTTACTGGTATGGTGGGTGTGCACTGGTTGCTCTGCCCTGGATCACGTTCTGGTCTTCTGAAAGCTCAGAATGTTTTGCCTGACATTGAAAGCAAAGCATCTCACATAAAGTTGAGTGGAAATAAGAAGCTTAGGACTATTAAGCATTCTATTTGACAGTTAGTAAAAGACTTTATTCTTAATTTTTTTTTCCGGTTTCAGGCACAGATTACTCGAAATTCATCCAGTAAGTGTGAATTTTTAACTTTTAGTCTATTTATGTTAGCTTTTTAACATAGCATGAAAATAGATTTTTTTTTCAGTTGTTGAAGAAATAAACATTGTAAGTATCTATATTTTAAATAGGAAAAAAAAAAATATTTCTCTTGTCAGTTCTAGATACCTCTTCTTTTTCTATATACTCAGCTGTTCCCTATTCTGGGAAACAGATCAGTCTGTGTCAGTGATGAGGAACACATCCAAGAGCCAAAGTGGGCGACCCCATGGAAGAGACTCCTGTGCAAATTCTTAAAACCTTTCCACCTGCTCAAGTTTAGTATGACCCACAAACCAGCAAAGCACACTCTCTCTGTTTTATAGGCAAACACATAAAACATGGCCATGGAGACAGAGGACAGAGCATCAGCCTCTATCCTATAGGGTTTTCTTTCAGTAGGAAACCAAGCCAGATTTGCTGAAGAATAATATTTATGTAAACAGTATAATTTAAGGAAGAAATTTCAAGTGAACAGCACTTCCTCTCAAAATGCATTGCTTGGTGTAGTCCTCTCCTATTAGAAGGTATTTCAGGAGTATCTGACTTTATCAGAAATAATGCATTTTCTCTTTTCCATTTTAATCATTCATAATTACTGCTGAACTGAAACCATTAGTATTTACTATCTTTAGTTATTATTATTATTATTATACTATCTATAATGAAGCTGAAATTTTTGAGTGTCAGCTTTGGTGATAATATTGTGTCTTTTGCTTAGGTGAAGAGTTAACAAAATCAAAGCTTTCTGCTCCAACTAATGAGTAAGTTCAAATTTAAAATTCTATCAAATGCATTTTTGTAGGAATTTTGTCTTATTTTGATCTAATACTCAGAAACTCATTGAAAGTATCAGCTGACTGCTATTTTAAGTTGGGCATTGATTGCATCATATGTAACAATGGAGATTTCTGTTCATTTGTTTTCCCCTTCTAATGCATTTGCTTCACTGTGATTTGTCTCAATTCATATTTATAATTAAATAATTCAAAAATATTGTTTTTCATTAAAATATCAGGTTTCAAATAAGACAGGTTTAGCTTCAGTCCTGTACTGTTCCATGATAAAGTATATAAAATTGCAAGTCCCAAATTTGGACAGATCTATATGCATTGCTAATATATATATATATATATATATATATATATATATATATATATATATATATATACTGAAATAAATGGCTTTGAAGATGTATAAATGACAGTCATTTAACTGACGTTGTGAATTATATCCACACACAAACTTGCACCAAGGTGTCAGTTCAGATAGTGTCCTTATGTGTAAACCAGTTCCTTGACCGGCAATTTGTAAGTACTTTTATATTTAGATGCAAAGACTAAACAATAAAGAAGAATTTATCAATTTTATTTATCACTTTATTATGTTAATTATATTATCAAACTACCACTGAATTTGTAGATTGATTTTTATATCTCATGAGTATATTTAATTTATATTCAATTATAACTCAATATAGAAAGGGGAACAGTGACCTCCTGGCATGGGATCCGCTCTTCAGCAGTTCTCTTGAATCTTCCTCTTCAGCTTCCTTGGCATCCTCATCCTCCTCAGGTGAAATATTTGGTAGTAGAAAATGTTTTCTCTATGTACTTCAGAATGTTCTGTTACTGCTTTTTTAGTTATTGCAAGGAGATGTGCTTTGACTATTGAAATGAAAGAATTTTGTAAAACAGTATACTACCTTATAAGTAATACACAGCTGAGGGTGCAGTGTGTCACGCTTCCAAGCTAGGGATCAAGGAGGAAGAAGAAACACTAGAAACCTTCAGAAAATTCTATCTTGCTTCTGCCTTTTTTTAGCACCTTCTCTCACTTGCCAAAAAAATTATCACCATCTAGAATATAATCCTATTTTTTCAGCTGGTAAGGCTGAGAAATGAAATGGAGGTTATCACAGCAACTGAGAGACAAGTTGAGCTTCCACTTTGAATAGGTGAGGGTTTCTTCTTTCCAGGAAAGTCTGTTAAGCTATGTAGTAGGAAACCATGACTGTTAGGAGATATGTGGGCATAATCAAAGGGGAGCTGGATAATAATGGCAGGGCTGAGACGAGAATGAAGAGAGAGTTCTCTGAGAGCAGGACTAGTGGGAAGAAAAGGGTGGACTGAGGAATATGGGAGGTGGAGGGAGAGGACAGATGTTGTGTGGGAATTTTGGGGTGCAGGTTTCTAGAGGATATTAGTGTGGACGAGACACTGGCAGGCTTTGCAGAAACCTGGTCTTTGGGAAAAAAAAAACAAACCAAACAGTTTATATTGATTGTTATATTCAAAAAGTAGTGAAGGAGAGGGAGGCAGAATATGAGTAGATATGTATGTTGAAGAGGTTGAGAGCAGATGTTGAGAAACTAGTTCAGAAAAAGGAAGAGACCAAAACAAAAACAGGTATTATGGCTTTGTTAGATCTCCTTACTAAAAGTATTAATTTAAATATTTCATTGTTTATGTGGATTATCTCCAGGGATTTAAGGCAGAATCTGCTATTTACTCACAGTAGCAGATAGGTTGTTTCCATAGTTCTTTTCAGTCTGCCTACTGTGTATCTATTTTCCAACCCCTGCTGTCTTAATGTAGAGACTCTTCACCTCCCACATGCCTGAGAAAGGAAGTGAACAGTATTTCTTTTATCTAGGTATTCATAGTCCAAAAATTATAATAGACATCACTTCTTCATTCACAGTCACAGCTTCCTAGTGGTTATCCTCTTTGCTTGATCATACAGATGGAAGAATAGTAAGGAAGAGTGCATATATCAGTAGGGAAATTCCACACAACTAGTGTTAATTCTTCTTGGCCTTAGTAATGTCCTTTTAACAGCAACCAACATTGTTATGTAACCCTTTGGTTTTAAGTGGAACGTACTCTTTCACTATGTTTGCTTTCCTTAGATGTTACAGTTTTTAACAAATCTAGCTTACAGAAATCATTAGATTGTTTCTTCCTCAGTAAGGTAACCAGTCAAGATTATTGGCCAGTGGATCCAAATTTGTAACATATTTAATGATAAACTCTATAGAATTATGTAGTACTGGAATATGCTGAAAAGAAGTGGTGCTTTGTCAGAATAATCTGTTTTACTAGCTTTGATCTCGTGTTAGGATTCTGTAGAAGAAAGCAGAGGATGCTTAATTTGTTGTGCTGGTCGTTTTTACTGTATTGGGTTGTTTATTGCTATGCTTGAATGGGAAGTCAAAGCAAATTAGGAAATGTCCATACAGTCCCTTCTGGCAGCAGGGCTGTGGAAAAAGTAGCCTCTGACTGATGAGTAGTAACAGGTAATTGGGATCCATAACATCCTTTGTAGTTATATCTGAGGGTAGTCATCTACCCGAGCCCTCATACCCAAAAGAGACTTATGCACAGTGCCCTACATTTCGTTGAAAGTGGTGTAATATAGTGTCCTGTGGGCGTAAGGGATTTTAGATATAAAATACCTATGCCTTGGCAAACTTTACCTTCTAAATAATTATTTAAAGTGTGGTTGTTCTATGAGTTAACTAAGGTATCTGCACTTATGAAATGATCCATGGAGTTAAGTAGTAAGTGAATGTTCTAAAATATAACAAATTACTAATACATTTTGGGGGGGAAAGTGGACTGGTGTAGGTCATATTGCTGTTTAAATCAAGTTCTGATGCTCACTAAGCTACACCTTAGTTCTAAAGACTTCTAAAAATACATTTTTAAATTTTGTCAAGATTATTGGCCAGTGGATCTGGTTGTATTTTCCTTGAAATTAGTGGTTTATCTTCAACTTGAAGGTTAATATTGGTAAGCTGATGCTTAAAGCTTTTGAAATCTCAATCCAAAATTTAAATTGCATGAATTAGTTGTTTTGTATACAGCATATCTGCGTATCATGATACAGCATATTCCACTGATTACTTTTTTTCCTTTTAGTGTTAAAACATTTCTTTAGATATTGTTTCATAAGTCTTTGTTAATCATTGAATGCCTAAACTACCATGATATTTGAGCAGACAGTGATTTATTTAGCACAGAAGTAAACTTTGGTCATCCATGAATAATCCTGCTTTATTAGAAGTTTAAGCTAACTTGGTTACCTTCAACAAACACAACAAACATTTTTTTTAGCCAGCTAATGATATTGTAAAAATGCTTTTTATTTATCTTCCTTATTTTCACCCATATGTATTTTTTAAATAGTTTTGAATAGTTCCACACTGCTTTTTGAATAGGATTTATAGTAGTATTTTAAAGCCTTTGAATGATATGCAAAATATATATTGGAAAGGGAGAGCCATGTTAAAACTCCATTTATGTGGGCTTAGAGAATGTACTTGTTCATGGCAAAAGGACCAGTCTAGAGAGGACACCTATACTTTTGATTTGAATTTTTAAATTTGTTGAGCTCTTTTTTGACTCTCTATGTCACTCTGGTGTTTCTCCAGTGTGCAAGATGTTGAGAATTAACTAGTGTCATATATTCTGCTTCTGTTGTCATCTGCTGCAACAGGCAATAGCCAAGTACAGAGATTACTTGTGGAAAACTCCTGTTTTCCGGCAGCCTGAAGACTATAGGATAGAGAGGAAATAAACTGCAGTGGATGTTGCCTCATACATACAGTTAATCATGAGATGCAGACAGAAGAATATAAAACAGGATCTGATGTCTTCATTGCCTTCATTCATTCACCAGACAGCCATTTATGTTGGGCTTTCCCATTATAAATGTTAAGGGTAAGAGGATAAAAATGTTTGGAAGGAACAAGATAAGATAGATTTGATTAAATACTTTTGAAATAAATGAAAAGCAGAAAACTATGGAGGGGAAACAAAAGTGGAGTAGTACACAAGAAGGAAAAGACAAAGATGAGAGGAAGTTAAATCATAACAGGGAGGAAGTTAGAGGAATGAGGAAAGTCATGAGAAGTAGGGCCTTAAGTGGAGAGAAACACAATAAATTCCTTTTTGGCTTACTTAAAAAATGGAAAGTGACGTGGCTGGAAGTATGAACAAATTACATGTGATATGTGGATGGGATTTTTTTTCTTTTATTTGTCAGTGATGGGATTTTTAGTCTAGTAGAGCAGTTATTTTTCATGCTGGCTGTGGATGCTGGATACCTCATGTAGTGCATATTGAATACTTTTTTGAATATTGACATTTTTATCTTTTCAGTGCTGGTCCTAGTTTCAATTCTTCCCTTTTCCTTCAGCTACACTAAAAGAGCACAATAGGAGCTCCTCTTCATCTACCACTGATTTGCCTGGGTGTAGAGTATCTCAGTCTTTGCTTGTACACCAGACAGATTCTGGGTCTACAAGCCCATCCTCACCAGACTTTACTATTAGCACTTTGTTCAAATCTGGTGTTACAGCAGCGCCATCAGGGAGTACCAGTGCTCCATCCTATGTTTCACAGTCTCAGAGTCAGTGGATTTCCTTTGCTGATGAACTTCTTACAATTAGACACACACGTGCAGACAACAAGGAGCCCCAAAGATTGCATTTTAAACCTGAAAATGCCTGCCTTGCTTCTCCTGCTTTGCTTGGGAATTCTTCCAACAGCTGTGCTTCTGAAGATCAAAGTGACCTTTTCAATAATACTATATGCCATGAACAATTATTCATTGAAGAAACTGGCACTGCTGCTGAAATTTCTCCTGCATCATCTTCAGCACTACTGGACTATAGTTTAGTGTCTTCTTGTGCTCATACAGATAAGGGTATGGCAAGCATGCACTGTTTACTGCTTTTTGCTAATAACTGACTCCAAAAAGCAAGCTGTGGACTCATTTTATTTTTGTTATTATTGCTCACCTGATGTTAAAATTAACTCATCTTCTTACTTAGAATGTACTAAACTGCTTGTTAGCACCAACTTCCTTGAAAGTTAGGACAATGTAGTAAATATTCAGGTTGAAATAAGAAGATAAATTAAACTTATTCAATTAAAGGCATTGCTTTCTCTTAACTATGCAGAGCTTTGCTTTTCTAGAAATAGGAATGTATTTTTGTGAAATGTAGATCTCTAAGTGATTGAATTTGCAAAAACAATTCCATTCCTAAATGGCTTTGTGTAGATATTGTGTGGATATTTACGTAGATCTATACCTGTTCCTTTTTAACACCCATTATTTTGAAGCATGGATGGTATCACGGTAATACAACATATTAAGAGGGCAAAGGAAAGTGCATTTGGGCAAGTGTGCCATGATTAACTGCATACCCGTGGTACTGCAGCAGACTACTCAGTGTTTAGCATACACTGTCATCTTAGAGCATAATAAGAATTTTAAAGGAATGACTGATATTTTAGAAGTTAATTTATCTGGGGATGTTTGAGTTTGCAACACTTAAGGGGATGTGGGCAATATTAGTCTAATTTCTTTCTTCCTAAGTCAGTGATGAAACTCCTGTATTTAAATAACAACAGAGTTATGCTGAATGCCTGAGAAAAGTCCATATCTAAAAGTCACATTTTAAGTAACATTAACTGATTTAAGGAAAAAAAAAACATCCAAAATAATTTAAATGAGGCAGTAGGACATGCTGCAACAACATAGTTGTATATTATGATTTCAGTCTATTTTGAAGTTAATTTTAGATCTGGTTTACTCATTGGATAGCATCTAACATCTATTTTGAAATACAGTTCTGTTCATTCTATTCAGAAAAGTGACTTTGTAAAAGTGGCATCTTTGTACTGCTGCCACCTTCTGCTAGTTGTTTCTGTTAGGTTTAGAAAGACAAGGGGTCAGTACTTTTTTTTAACTGTTTTTTACTTCTGATAACTCAGCTAAGAGATAATAAGGAGTTAGTGCATTCTTACAATCAACGGAGTAGTTTGTCTGTTACACTGGTATATACTTACTGAAGTCAACGCAATTTCAGTAGGCAAAATTCGGTGTGAACTGACTTATGCCATTGTTAGCCGGGACCAAATATGAATTTCCACTGAATTTTCCCTTTGTGGTGAGACATGAAAGACTGAGCTATATTCTGAATCTATAGACTCTACATCAAAGGAAACACAGGTAAAACCATCTTTTTACATACACACCTCCAAGAACAGTTGGTATAAAATCATTTGAGAGCAATGAGAAAGCCCATGATGCCATTTTTAGAGTCACTTTTCAGGGTATCACATGGCCCTGTTTTAAAAGCATTTATGGTTAGTGTCAAATCTTACAAAATGGAGCTTGTAAAATAGGAACTTCTAATAGAAACGTAACTTCCAGCTATTCTATTAAAGTGAGTATGTATTTATGTTCAGTGTGATCTAATACTAATTTCCTTAAATTTGCTTTCTTTCAGCAAGGCCCACAACTCCTCTTTCTGTAGGCACCATTGTACCCCCTCCAAGGCCTGCTTCAAGACCAAAGCTGTCTACCGGGAAACTTAGTGGGATTAATGAAATAGTATGTATTGATTGGGTTTTTTTATTCTCCATTGTAACTTGATTTCAGATGTACCATTCATTTACACTGTTACAGTGGGGTTACTTTCCATCCAGTGTTCAAGGAATCACATACGCAGATTTTCACCATTGTTGGATAGGCCTGGAAGTATGATAACTATATTACTATAATGAAATAATTCTTATCATAACTACAGAGGTCCAAAACATAATTTTTGCATCAGCTGAAGGTTTTTAATTGAACAAACCAGTAATTTGATAATGAAAGTATACTATGTGTATGAGGCTGAAGTTTTTAAAATGTGAAATACTAGTGAAGTTATTAACAAAGATCCATTGATTTAGGGAAATCACCAAAGCTTCAGGGAATGAATGGTATTAAGTAGATCTTTATCAGTCATGTTGACACAAGTAGCCCTGCTGTGACTTATTCCTGCTCTTGGTGCTGGTTGGTGAAGAAGGGAGGTGGCAGACTGCAGCTGCTGCCCATCAGCATACTGAGAGGTTGCACACTGCCTGCATCCTGCTCACTGCCTGCAGTGCAGGTCTACCTGCCAGTAAGGAATGTGGCAAAGAATACAAATACACAGCCAGCATATCCAAACAACCTACACTTAATCTCCTCTGTGAATATGAGGAGTCTTTAGATTTCATTTGACTTACTGACTTGGAAAAATGTTACCGTGGTAAGATACTCTTACTGTCTTGCAGAGTAGCAAAATATTTTCAGCATATTCTTGTTACGGACAAAATTCTGGTCTTAATGCTTTCACAAAACCAAAACATTTTTGAACTATTTCGCAGTTATGAAAGGTCAGAATAGGGTTCATTTTGAGGTTCTTTTCTCGTTCCAATATAAAATTTTAGTAATTGCTCTTAGACCAAGGAATCTATTCTTCATATTATAAATAAAGAGAAGAATTTATCTGGAGCTGTTCTGCTATAAAGTATGATTGTGCACAAAGCTACATTCATTTTATACTGTTGTTTTAGAAACTGGCTATTATCCGGATATAAGTGGAAGATTGTCACTCAGCTTTAATATATATCAACTCCTTTTACAATTCCCATATTTTGTACAAAAGCCTCGTACCCAGCAAAAAGTGTGATTGGACCTAAATAAATAAGAAATCCAGCCAGTACTCAGCCAAAAAATAGATGCTTCTTTGGTTCTAGTGCCTTTTAGATAGCTTAATCCCAAAATGATCATTAGTTAGTTTAATACCTTAACAGTTAAGTGTATCATAAAACCATCCATAGATTTAGGATGGAAGGGACTTCTGAAGATCTCTAGGCCAACTTCCTGCTCAAAGAAGGGCCAACTTCAAAATTGCGTCAGGTTGCTTAGGAACATGCTGAGTTTTGAAAAACTCCAGAGAGGGAGATCTTAGTCTCTTTGGGCAACCTGTCCCAGGGTTTAATCACAAGGTAACAAGAAGGAATTTTTTCCCTAGGTTCAGCTGAAATTTCCTTTGCTGTAGCTGTTGCATCTGATAAGAGCCTGACACCACCTTCTTTGTACCTCCTTTTAGCTAGTAAAAGACTGCTAGTAGATCTCTTAAGCTTCTGTTCTCCAAGCAGAACAAACCCAGGTCCCTCAGCCTGTTCCTCTCTCTCATGTACTCCAGTCCCAACTATTTTAGTTGCCCTCTGCTGGACTCTCAGTTATGTTAGTAGCTCTTCCTTATCTCTGTAAATCCACATTTGCTGCATACATAGCACAGGGCTGTAGGGCTTATGTTCTGCTACTGTGTTATGGCACAATTATTGACAGGCTGCTACATAATCAAATATATTAGACTTAACTACCCAGGCAAAAAATTAACAATGATAAACTATTAAATAATGGAATTGATTCCAGTGGAAAATAGAAGTTCTTTGTTTTATACTAAAAACTAGGGTGGATAAGGCATTAAAGGAACTATGTTGAGAAATTGATTGGGACATGAAATGAAGAACATTTCTATTTACAGTCATTTTTTCATCTCTTTAAAACCACTGTGTAATACTGTTGTAATTTCTTTTGTTCAGCCTAGGCCATTCAGTCCTCCGTTGACCTCTAACTCAAGTCCACCTCCTGCAGCTCCCTTGGCACGTGCAGAGAGCATTTCCTCAATATCCTCTTCTGCTTCCCTCAGTGCTGCCAACACACCTACAGTTGGTAAGTTAAATTAACCATTTCAACTTACTTTAGAAATATCATAATTATGCCACTAGGTTTCACTTGTCAGGAAAACCGTTCACTGGACTTAGTTGTTCCATATGTGAGTCCAGTCTAGGTAGTTCAAGCATCCTTTGTGATACCTGATTCTAAATGACACTGAGAGACAGTAGATTCAGTTAGATTAGACCATAGATCCAGTTATGGCATGTTCTTTAGGGAAATATTTTTCAAAAGTAATACTCCATGAATTCTTATTTGGTATGCTTGTATATGCATTCGTCAAGCACAACGTGTTATCATGTGTTTGTTCTGAAGATATTATTGTATAGGTCCAGCAATATTTTGAATACTGATAAATTTGAATTCATATAAATGTTCACAAAATTGAGTTCTTCTATGTTCTTTTTATTTTGTTATCCTGTAATTGCGTTTCAAAAAAAATTAAACTAATGCATCTTTTTTCTTCCAAGTTATTGAAGTATAGAAGCTAAACAGAAGTGTTTAGTAAAAGCAAAACAAAAACCAAACAAAAAAGATAAAGATGAAAAGCAAATCAGTCTTCATGTGTTGCCACTAATTTCAGGTTTTCTGATGTTTTTAAAGGAAAGTACTTCAGTTTTGATATTTGGCTATAGCAAAGTAAAAGGAGACTTGGGAGTGAGGGGGTGTGTGTGATCTTTTTAGACATTTTAACTTGTTTCTGTAGCAGAATTTAAGTATTTCATTTTTGAACATTACCACTTCAGCCCCAAGATATATCTGGTTTTTGAGTTAACGCTCAGTTAGCTGTGAATGTTACTGATGCCAAGGATTCCTTGCCCAGGCTCAGCAGCTCAGAAGAGCATCTGCAAAGCTTCTAGTGGGAGTTCTGCACTGAATGCACTGCAGCTGTTTCCACCTTGTGCAGGACCAAAGCTACTAAGGTCTGCCCAGCCTTAGTTGCTACAGTTCAGTGTCCACCAGTTTCCCAAATGCTGAGAAGCATCACAGAAAGATAACTGGTATTTTGGTTGACAAAGTCCATCCCGGTTCACATCTTCAGGCCTCAACACTGGTGCCAAGGAACCAAAAGTTGGTGGCAGCAGCATCAATATCCCCAGCTCTGAGTGTGTGTTGTTGGAGACAGTGACAGAATAAAATCATGAGGTGAGGGAAGAGGTAAGGAGGTGTGTGCTGACACCAAAGTTTGACATGGTTCTTAACCTGGCCTAGCAAAAATAAACAAGGCCAGTTCCATCTGCACCGACTGTATGAATTAAATAGTCCTGGAGAGCTGGGAAGGACAGTGCAGACAGCTGAATAACTTCAGGGCATGAGGATATACTCTGCACTACTGTGTATTCTTTTGACTTTTGCACAATCCAGTGTTTCCCTTGCGCCATTTGTTACAAATAACAGGGCGTTGATTCATTTATCTTTTCCTAAGTGAACTTGGAGGCATGTATAATTAATGTCTCTTTTATGCTTTAGCCTTATTTTAATTTGCAAAGTATTTTTATTTATATTAAATTTTTTAACATCTATTTTTGCTTGAAATATTTTGGGTTTTTGCAATGCTTTGTTTCATTTAAATGTAATAGAGGTTTATCTTTTGATTGGAAATCTTCCTACAATTGAAAAGCTTTGTGAGACACCACCAGGTATTTTACTTAAAGCAGATTTACATGTTAACTAATCATCCTAATACACTATACCTAATGAAATGGTATTTGTTTTGAAACGAATTTCTTCAGCTATTTCTGGTATCTGGCAGATGCAAGTAGCTTGAAAATGCAACTACTTAACAAGTTATATGTTGTTGAAATCACCAAAAGATAGAACTGGTTTTATATAATGTAACCTTTTTCTATCCTTGCCCCATCCCCCCACCAATCAAGCTGAAACTTGGTCTTGCTTCTTCAGTTTGTCACTACTACTTTCTTTCAAGTAACTTGAATACATTTTTACTTTGACAATCCTTAGTCTCATAAAGCAAGCAGATAAAAATGTTTCTATATTTACATATAATAGAAATCTTTGAAAATACACATAATATAGGTAATCTTTTTAAAAAATAAATTTTATTTTCATGACAGCTATTTAGCTAATATTAGAATTTTATGTATCTTTGTTCCTAAACTGACCTAAACCAATTTGAGCAGGTTTGTTTATTTATTTGCCCTTTTTGGGGGCAATAATGCAGTTTGGCAACCTCCTTGAGAGTGTCAGTGCAACTGTTTGCATGGCTGTGTCACTAGCTCTTGTGTCAGCACAGCTCTGGGGCTGTTAATGGTGGTTAGGGCTGAGGTAGGTGATGGGGCATCAAAGCCAGCCAGCTCTGCTGTCACTGTGCTAGAGCTGGAGCCTGGAGCTGGGCTGCAGCCTGAGATGCATGCGGCCACGTTGGTGCAGCTCTTTGACATCCCATCCCTCTGAGAGCTCACAGCAGGTATGGAAGACCCTGAAGCTGGATATCACTGCACTGCATTGTTATTTTCAGCAGCAAGACAACAAAACAGTGACAAAGCAGCAAGACAACAAAAGTGAGGTTAAGCAGTTACGTTTGTTTCAATTTACTGATTTTTAGGAGAATGCATAGATTTTTATGAATCAAAACATGATGAACTGTGGGGGCAAAGCAGATAAGAAAGAAGCTATCTCATTTGTAGTCCATCAAAGACATCTTAGAGAAATGTATATACACATATATATATATTTGTTTTGATATTTCCCAACAAAAGTAAAAATAGTGTTCTTATTCCTAATAAATTTCACTCTTCAGTCAAGAAATCAGTATTTGTCTTTTACTGATAGGAATATCATTTATATATTTGCATTACTCTGCATGATTTTCAAATATCAATATAAAAAATATACAGAGGCCATTATAAGTATAGTATGTTAAAATAATTTATACATCTGTAAACAAGCTGGCATAATTAATGTGGGGTAATCACCTCCGATCTGCTCTGCAGTTGTTTGTTGTTCCTTAGTGAATTGGGGGAAAAGACAGTAACACACCCTGGCAACGGTAGTGGCACATCCATTGAGTGCATATTTGGCACTCAGTTTTAGTGGAGAATACTTCTGGTGTTCAGTATTTCACCAGACAGAACTTGTGGCTGTTTTTAACTCATTATTTTATTGCACATTTGCTTCTTGAAACCATGATTTCTGAATTTTTGGGACTATTGAAAATCACAGCTTTTACTGGTATTTTTCAGGGAGAGAAAGAAGACTTTGGAAACATGTCCTATGTATTGTCTGAAAGAATAAATAAAACCAACCTACTGTTCATGTTGAAAAAGTAAATCAGTGTTTTGTAGCCAGCATCATAATCTTTTACTCATCTAAGAATTTTTGGTTTTGATAGTCTAGTCACAAGTGTTCACTTTTGATCTAAGGAGGCCTAAATGTTGCACTAAGATTTTTTTGATGGTGCTGAGAAATATTCGGAACATTTTACTATCTTAGGCAAGAAATCATGATGGAGAGTGAGGTATGAGGTAGCAGAATTACATCAACTCCTATCTTTTAATCTCTGTTTCTGCTTCTTTCACTTATCTCTGAATGTAAGGTCTAATATCTCAGACCTTCTGAGAAGAACAAGTTCCCAACTTCCTTATTGCTTCTGAAAGAGCTCAGAAGGCTGTTGTAAATAGGATTAGTTTGCCATGAGCAATATTATATGGCAGCATTTTGTTTCTACTTTATAGTAGTATGAAAGAAAAATGTCTCATTTTGCTCATGAAAAGAGAAAGATTGTGCCTCCTTTGTGATGGTAATAGTATGTGATACAGGCCATTTCAGCAGTGGTACAAAAAATTAGTAAGATGCTCTGCACTACACTACTGAACTAATAAAAGGATGGGACTTCCAGTATTGCCTTTTACATTCAGTACACACATAGAAAATTGTTGAAAAGCAAAATCCCATGACAATCAGTTTTGTCAATTGTAGACACACGTTTCAAAAAGCCTTAGCATGAGGTCTGAGTTGATTTTTATAGTTATGCATTAGAAATGTGTTGTGTTGGCACAGGCATATGTGAAGGCTTCTCCAACAATACCTGCATGGGAGCTGTAATCTTTGTTGACTGAAGTAGTTAAAAGAATGTTCAGCAGTTGACTTATGTGGGGTAATATTAATGTATTTGCATTTAAATTCATGCATACTGTAAATGAATTCTTTGCATTTCCATCACCATTTTATCATACTTTTTTCCATGAAATAAGCATACAGTAGGGTGTTGTGGTTTTTTTAAGTATTCTAGTCAATGTCTAATTTCCTTTGGATCTGTTGACTTTTATCACTAGCCATTTTAATGCAATATTCCTCCGTCTCGTATATATTTCCTTGTGTCTGTCCATTTACATAATGTCATACTGATAGTCCTGTTTTCTTAGGCTGCTAAGCAGTGTTTTGATGGTACGATTGTTTACATTTTTCTACATACTTTTCAAGTAATACTTCAGACACTACTATGACCTTGACGGTAGTACCCTTTGTGAAAACTGCAGATGTAGTCAACCATTCTGAAATCTGTTGCTAAGCTTTTTGAAAATTAAACCTATATGCTGTATGTATTCTAGGTGTTTCACGTGGTCCCAGCCCTGTCAGCCTTGGAAACCAGGACACCTTGCCTGTTGCAGTAGCCCTTACTGAATCTGTTAACGCCTACTTTAAAGGAGCAGACCCCACAAAGTTAGTTTAAATAGTGAATTGTTTTGAATGTAATAAGTTACAATAAGAAAACACAGGGTTTGCTTTTAATATTTTTGGGGATAATGTATATAAAATTGGAAGGGGGATTCAAAGAGGGATTTTTTTCCATAGTGTAAGTGACAACAGTGGCTTATTGCTCTGTATTGGCCTGCATTTTGCTACAAGTTCATATATATCCCTGCTTTACAAAAACGTTTTCAGTGAGAACACTGAAAATGAGAAGGGTTTTTATCGTAGTCAGATAGGTGCTACATGTAAATTTGGGCAGCTAAAAGCACCTCTTTCCTTCTGTCACATCCCTTACTATGCTACTTAGGCCTTGCCTAAGCATAGTTTTGCCATGTTTTCAAAGCCTGGAAAATGTCCACCAAGCCTACTGTATGCTTAACCAGCTAAGATTTTTTTCTTTATTTCATCTGACTTCCAAGTTGAGAGTGACAATACATTGTCACATTACCCTAATTTGAAACTGATTTTCTGCTTTTAATTCAGTTCATCAGACTGTGAAAGTACAGTGGTTGCTTTAATATTAAAACTAGGTAGTTAATGAGTTGCAATGAAACTGATGTTTTCATTCTCTTCTAGATGTATCGTGAAGATAACTGGTGATATGACAGTGTCATTCCCAAGTGGGATTATTAAAGTCTTCACCAGCAACCCATCTCCAGCTGTGCTGTGCTTCAGGGTGAAAAACACAAGCAAACTAGAGCAGATTCTTCCAAATGCACAACTTGTATACAGGTTTTGTATTTTTTTTAATATAATAGTAACCTACATGATTTGTAAAATGTGAGTTGTTGTATATGTAAATCGGAATTCTCTACAGTCTTGTTGATTTGCTTATACATAATTTAATTTCCTGAACTAATCTTGCTCAGCTGAGTCCTCTTCCCTGTCACCATTAAAAATCTAGTCATTACTGGACTTGAAACTTGTGCTGAGTGTAACAGGAGCCATGAAAAATAGTTTGTAAATGTAGTTGTGCTTTTACATGCATTTTATATATTATTTCTTTATACAGTGGTAACACCGGTAAGATAAATGATGAAACAGTAACCTTAAATGAAAAACAAGTAGCAGAGCTACACCTAATCTAATTTGTCACTTACTAGTGTATTCTTAGGTTGTATCATTTCTTCAGTAGATCTGATTCATTACATAACACTCTCTCAAGTGTGTAGCAGGATGCTTGGGAGAGTTCTTAAGAAAAAAGGCTGTTGATTGGGATAACTGCTGAAATTACAGCACTTGGATATCTTTTAAAGAAAATTATAAGAGCTGTAATTATTTAGCAGAGAACTGTTTCAGCTGAGCAGTTTCTATTTAATTTATTTGAGAAATTATTTGAAAATTAGTTAAATGCTTTTAGATGCTCAATTTTTTAAATTACTGAAATACAGAATCAAACCATATGCATCCATTCTGTTATATTTAGTTTCATTTTGATCATTCATACTTAATGTATTGAATAATTCATACAAAATTAAGCTTTTTGACATGATAGTTTATAACTGAAAATCTAGCAGAGCTGTATCTGACAGTGAATTATACTGAAAAAGTGTGTTTTGCAAAAAAAGTGAAAATGTCTGTTCTTGTCTGTGCTGTAACACTTCATCTTTAATTAGAAAGGAAGCATGTAATGGATATTTATGAAGCTATGCTCATATAGTAATGGACTTTTCATCATATACTACATTTGCTTAGTATTTATAGCGATTAAAGTTTTTAATGAGAGTGATATTTGAGGTGATGCCAGAATTTCTGATTTGAATTGCACTTGGCTGTGGAACAGCACAAAGATTTTACTACTGGTTTTATTTATTTAAACTGTGGAAGGCCTCTGTAGTGATAAGTGTTTATCTACATATTTTATGGAAAATGGAAATTTCCTGAATCACAGCAGTGTATTGAGAACCAAATTTTAAGTAAATTGGACAATCTACTGGTACGTAAGTCACTGTCCTAGGATATTCAACCCATTGGGGTCATATTTAACTGTATGCATACTGTGGTCATATTTACTTTACATATTTACTCCTCCTTAGGGGTGGATGCAGTTCCTCACTGTATCCACAGACATTCAGAGGAGGTCTTTGATTCTTAAGTGATTTGAATTTTGTGTTTGAATCACTTTTCTTAAAAGATTTATACTTATTCGAAATAAACCTGATGCAAACAGAGCTGAAGATATTATTGATCTGCCGAACACCACGCTCCAGTAGCTCCCAAACATTATTTTGCTTCTGCAGTCATGTACGCTCTTACCTGCATAGAGAAGTGATATAATAAATTCTATGATTGAATGTATCTGTAAGTATCTGCAAAACAATTGTTTACAATAATTTTAAAATCGCTTTTAATTGAAAAAAATTTGAAAGCTTACACTCTCTACAAATATATGAAAGTATGGTAACCCATACAGCACCTGAAGCTACATCATAACCCAAACTAATTATAATTTTAGGATTTATTCCAAATTGGATAACATCCCTTTTCAACTACAACTTTCATACCCACCTCCCACATCCTCACAGCACCTAATGGTATTAAAATTGTGTTTTATTAAATGTAAAATGCAAATTCAGCATTAACTCCATCTTGTGATGCAGATCATCATTGGAGGAATATCACTGCTCCACAACCTGGAAGGAGAATTTTTACCAGATATAACAAGTAGTTAATTTGTCTTAATATTTAGGAATGTACAATTATGTGCTACAAAGCACTAGAACAAATTCTTGCTTGAAATAGTGAAGAAGGGGAATGATCTAGTCTTAATTTTTTAACCATTCATAAAAATAAAAATCAGTGTTGCCTTCTGACTCCTACTTTTCTTTGTAGTGATCAGTCACAAAGTGACTCCAGTACTAAGGATTTTTGGATGAACATGCAAGCTATAACTGTCTACCTCAAGAAATTATCAGAACAGAATCCATCTGCATCCTATTACAATGTGGATGTTTTAAAGTATCAGGTAAACACTTTTTTCCCTTTGGAATTTTTTAAGGAACTCTGGCAGATTTTATGTCTACACAGAAATTAAAAGAATTGTTCTTTGCCTGCTAGCATGCAGATGAACTGTCATCCCTCATCTAGACCAATTCTGGGTATGCCACTGCTTACAATGCATAGGCTGTGCCCAGGCTTAGTGCATTCCTGCTATGCTTCATCTCATTCCCTTGGATTCATGACCTCTTGCAGCTTGCTCTCATGTCACTCCAATTCATGTGTGCAAGCTTCAAACACTGCTTCTTTAGGTATTTGTTAGCAGAGCCAAATTTTCTCTGTATTTAGGGGCTTGGGGGGTTGTTTGAGTTTGTACTGTCTTTGAGCTTGTAATTACATAAGTTTTGATGCTGTAGCTGCCAAATTGTAATATATGAGAACATGCGACGTTCTGACCTCTCACACTATAATGAAACATCTCATCCTGGAAACCATTTACAGGCACATGAAGGACAGGGTCATCAGGAATAGTTAGGGTGGATATACCAAGAGAAAGTCATGCTTGGCCAACTTAATAAACTTCTGTGATGAAATAACTGACCTGGTGGATGAGGGGACACAGTGGATATTGTCTTAGACTTCAGGAAAGGTTTCGACACTGTCTCCCATAGTATCCTCATAGAGAAGCTGGTGAAGTACAGGCTGGATGAGCAGACACAGAAGTGGACTGAAAACTGGCTGAATGGGCAGTCCCAGAGGGTAATGGTCAGTGGCATGAAGTCTAGTTGAAGGCCCTTAACTAGCAAGTATACCCCAGGGGTCAATACTGAGTTTACAGTCCTATTTAACAGCTTCATTAATAATCTGAATGGTGGGGCAGAATGTACCCTCCACAGGTTTGCTGATGACATTGAACTGGGAGGACCCTCTGGATATACTGGACCTCAACTAGCTGGAGGAACAGGTTGACAGGAACCTCATGAAGTTCAACAAGTGCACCTGGTTAGGAACAACCCCATGCACCAATATACTCTGGGAACTACCCAGCTGTAAATCAGCTTGGTAGAAAAGGACTTGGGGGACATGTTGTCAAACATGAGCCAACAATGTGCCCTTGCTGCAAAGGCCACAAACTTTCTCCTGGGCTGCATTAGGCAAAATATTGCTAGCAGGTCAAGGGAGGTGATCTTTCCCCTATATGCAGCACTGGTGAGGTCACACTTGGAGTACTGGGATGTCCATTGCAAAAGAGACATGGACATACTGAAGAGAGTCCAGTAAAGGGCCGCAAAGATGATGAAGTCTGGAGCATCTCTCCTGTGAGGGAGAGCTGGGACTGTTCAGCATGGAGAAGGGACGGTTCAGGAGGGGACCTTAATGATGTATACGAATACCTGAAGGGAGGGTGTAAAGAGGACAGAGCCAGGCTCTTAGTGATGTCCAGTGACAGGGACCACAGACAATGGGCACAAACTGAAACACAGGAGGTTTCCCCCTGAACATCAGGAAACATTTTTTTCCTGTGAGGGGGACCAAGCAGTGGTGGAACAGGTTGCCCAGAGAGGTAGTGGGGTCTTCATCCTTGGAGATATCCAAAAGCCATATAGACATGGTCCTGGCAGCTAGCCCAAGGTGGCCCTGCTTGAGCAGGGGAGTTGGACCAGATTACCTCCAGAGATCCCGTCCACCCTCAACTATTCTGTGAATCTGTGAGAAGGTGTTCTGCCTGTCAATAATAAATCTTCATGAAAATTCAAGACAGATAGACTCACCTCAGAGAGAAAACAGGCATTTGCTAGGCCTGCACTTAAATGGTTGAACATCTGAGAAATTGTCTACATCAAAAAACAAAACAACCTGTCAGTCCAGCTATTGATACCATTGTAGATTCCACATACTCCCAGTATAGTTTAAAATCTTGGCATACTGAATCTATGAAAAGCATGTTTAGGCACACAGAATTCCTGAGAAAAATGGAAGAAAACACTTCTGTGGATTGCAGAAATGAGTATTGTGAAAGTATGGTATCTATTTAAGATCTTTGCTGTCAGGGAAAAATGTGTCATTGGCAGGTGAAAGCCCTGGCAGACAGAAAATGTTCTGGGCTGCCAAGGAAAGGTGAGAGGGGGCACCTGGACATAGAGGTTCCTCAAGTAGACTAGGAAGGTGGTAGAAACACAGCAGGGCAGTAGCACAATCTCAGCTACAGAAGCAGCATTCAGCCCTCCTGCAGCAGGAAAGTAATGTTTTGAATGGGTGAGAACTGTTCTACTGGATGCCTGTCCCATAATGACAGGTATTACCCTCTGCTGCTGGCTGCTTGGGCTGCTGAACTAGTACAGCACATAACTGCTAAGAATTAAGTCATTTTGTTGGAAGCATGCTTTGTGTGTGAGGCAGAACACAAGACTGAAACAAAACTACTTTGACTTGTAAAAGCCAGAATAGGAAGGAGCCTCATGAGCCAGAGGGAGTTTAAACCTTTTCTTTAATTATTTTAATTTAAAATTAAAAGAATGGGAATTACTTTAGGCTACAGCAGTCTTAGGAATTCTGTGATTAAGGACTCAGAGGTCAATTGTTCTCTTGATATTTTGTCACGATTTAAGAGTTATATTCATTACCATCATTCCCTAATTCTGCTCAAAAAGGAAGTATTTTAATCAAGCTGCTTTCAATGGTTTATTCTTACACAGGTATCTTCAAACGGCATCCAGTCCACTCCCTTGAACCTTGCAACTTACTGGAAATGTAATGCTAGCACTACTGATGTGAGAGTGGATTATAAGTACAATCCAGAGTCTATGAATGTGCCTAGTATGCTATCTAATATCCAGGTTGTGGTCCCAGTAGATGGAGGAGTCACAAACATGCAATCACTTCCACCTGCAAAATGGTAATATGAATACTTCTATTATTTCAGATTTATTTCGGTGTATTCATTAGTGTCATAGCCTGAAAATTTTCACTGAAAGAAACAATTAGTGGTTTTGGTCTTGATAAAATGAGTAGTATCAGATGTTTACAACATTTTCTGGTCCAAAACAGATAATGTGTAGCCAGTTCACATAAACTGAGACAATATGCACCTATTCCAACTGTAATAATACAAGCCTTTATGAAATATCCAGTGTTTGCCTTCTTTTGGCCAATAGACTGGATAGACATTTTTAATATAGTAATTTAAAACCAAAATCTCTTAATGGCTAAAAAATATTCTCTGTGGGTGTAAATATATCCATAGAGTAGAAGAAATGCAGTTCTTGAAAAGATTTCTTGATTGTTCTAGCTTAAGTATTACCTTCTAATTGAAATGGTTTTAAAACAAACCTCAGTAACTGAGGAGCAAGCTCTTCATAAGCCAGGTAGCATTGTCTCTCAATTCAAGTGTCATGCAGATTATTATCTGACTAGCAGCTACCTGCCACCACCTTCTAAGCCTGCATTTACAGTAACACTTGAAAGTGAGACACAGATCTCCGGTAATTATGCTTCTACAAGTTTGTGAAAACAAGCAGAGTGTAGTGGGACTGGGCAGAGTGGTACATCCCTGAAGCAAAAGGTGAGTAGAATTCAACCACTGTGCATGTAGGTTGGCAGCATGCAGGTACCTGCCCAGCTGTAATGTAATTCCTGGACTATTTATTTCCAAGAGGGTCTTTTTAACATGGAGAAGGAAAAGAATACCAAGTTGGCGTTGTTAACCTTGTTACTTACAGATCAGTTTACCTTAGAAAGCAAGGTTCAGAAGAAAAATAAACTTGTTGCATTTACGAGATAAGTTCTGATGTTTCTGGAGGCAATACATTTAAATGTGTTAATTGGACTAAGTAGTAATACAGTATCATTTTAAGTGGAAAAAATCCTAGCAAGACTGAATCTTTCTTGACTTGGTATTTCAAGGGAGCAATATTTTTAATCAAATCACCTTAAGCTTATTCTGAGCAAGGACAGGTTCATTATCCTGCCTGAACAACATGTCCGATGAAGCCAGTGTTCCTGCCCAGGCTTCTTCCACAAACCCTGCTGTAATGCAGCCTGAGAGCAGAAACACCCATGCAGAACACATAGCGTTAGCTAGGAAAACACAAATCACAGTGACAGTTTCATTACAGATTCATCAGATTAAGGGACTTGAGCCCCGATTCTCTTTCACCTAGGCAACTATACAAGGCTGTTTGAGCCTGTAAAGCTGACTGGAAAAAAAAAAAAAAAATACAGTCATGTCACAGAAAGCTCTAGTTGTGCTACCTGTTTGGTCTAGTGGATGGCAGGGGGGGCAGCTGTTTCTTTTAAAAATAAATGTTTTGTAAATTGATGTCCTGCAAGTAACCACTACCATCTGTGCTACCTGTGTGAGCATTTAACTCCTGATAAACCATGCCAAAAGCAATTTCAAACCCATCTGCACTGCTGCTCTGAGGTTTAAATTGTTGACTTTCCTTTGATGGAACTGCTGCAAAGTACTCCAGGAATTAAAATGCCCTGTCAGTTTAGAGACTCTGGTGCTTGGTGCCCCTTTCTGCCCCCTTACAATGTCAGAATTTAGTTTAAACCCTGTGTCACTTACCAACTAGTTTTACTAGAATGGAAATGGAATAAGATTCATCCTGCCAGCAGTCTCACATAGGGGAGAACAATCACCACTGCTTCCCCTCATACCACCATCTTGAAGCACAAAGACATAGCTTTCAAACTACTCCCAGGGTGTTGGCCTGTCCTTGCTTTTTCAGGCTACAGAGGGCTTCGAGTTACGGAGCCATAACCGGGCATAGGACAGTGTTAGCTGCATGAAAAGGTGGCGCGTACTTCAGTTCTGCTGCTGTGGGGCAATGCAGACACACCCTTCTCTTTTCCTGGTTGTTTTGTATAGTTTTCCAGAAACTTACCTTAAAGTGATCAAGTATTTTTATAAACTTCCATGTAGAGATGTGTGTAACATACTAGTGTAAATCTAGGGAAATAATATGCTAAAACTGATGCTTATAACTAATCTACCATTCTCTTACAGGAATGCAGAGCAGATGAAAGCATATTGGAAAATATCTAGTATTTCAGAGAAGTCTGAGAATGGAGGCAAGTTAACCTCTTTTGTTTTGTTTTCTTGTACAGAAAAATTGTAACAGCAAAAAGGCTATTATTTTAGCCTCTACACCCTCATGCTTGTTTTCATGTCTTCTCATGCTGTATCCTATTTATCAGTTCACATCCTTCTCAATTAATTTCCTCCTGAGAGATTCCATTGCAGTGTGATGTCAAAATATAAATTTATTAATTAGCTGTGAAAGTAAAAATAGAGAAGCCCCCTGAAAACAGTTAGTAGTTCTAAAAGGGAGCTTAGACCAGGTAGAAAATTATTAACATCAATGGATGAGCAGATTGGAAATGAGCAGTTATTCAAAGGAAAATATGTTTAATCTATGTGTCTTTTCACACACCGACAACTGAAATAAAGTAGAAAGAGGTAAGTGGAAGAACTGGGGGAAAGGAGAAAAAAAAAAAATCCCAAAGTCCTGTGCTGAGATAGACTCAACCATAAATGATTCTTGACCAACATTTTGAGGGTCTTTGTTTTTACCATATAGAACTCCAGGGGAAAAAAAAAAAAAATCTATACACATCTGCTTGGAGTGGTAATTTATATAGCATTTTGTAAGGTACCACTAGTTATGCTCTGCCCAGCTGCCTTTCGGGGAGGTCCAGTTGATGTCACAGCCCTTGCAGCCCCTGTAGGTGCAGTGTTTTTCTGAAGCAGAAAAATAGGAGCCAAAGGGAGGCATCTCATCCTCAAAGCCTCTGTGGAGAAATTAATTCATGGTGTAAAGGAAAGGCATTTAGCCCTTGTTAATAATTTGGTGAAGGGCATTAAGAAAGCAGATTTGCATGTAAATATGACTAGAAACCACAAGCCTGGAAAGGAAGGACCTCTTCTATTTGTGCAAAGACTGCAAAGTTGTGGTCATCATTCAAACAAAAATTGGAGAGAATTTTATCTGACAGATTGTTGCTGTAGTCTGGTGTACTTTGCCCTTCACTGACCTCACAGTTCTTTGCCACCTGTCTTTCATTATGATTACATAGGGATAGACCTCTTTTTTTTTCCTTTTCCAAACTGCAGAGCTTCTTTTAAAAGAAAAAAATCACACTAAAACACAAATGCAGCCAGATGAAGAGCAGCATAAAAAACATACACCCGCAGAACAGCATAAAATGGGCTGCCAGTGATGCAGATTGCATCTTGTGTGTGTTCAGTAGAACTGCACATATCCCACTGCTTCTGCTATATTCCCTTCTCTTCCCACCATCTTTCTTCCTCTTTGAGTATAAACACATAGAACTCACAATTATGTGTTTAAAAGGAAGCAATACTATCCTGGTCTTACACTTACAGAAACAAAGGCAGAACTTGCACAAGCACTGTTAATACTAGGACAAACATCTTGAAGTCTTCTTTATTCTGGTGTACTTTATTCTGGTGTACTTTATTCTGGTTTGGGTTTTTTTATGATCCAACACATTATATAAGCTGTCAGTTGCAGACAGAGATAAAACACAGAACAAACTTTCAAAGCACTTAAATATTTGAGTTTCCATGCTTACAGTGGAAAGAAGTACCAATTTACCCAAACTATGACAGACCTACTGAAGAAATTAAATTGACCTTAAGCCACATTTATCAAGAACAAGCCGTTGCATAAAACAATTTCATTCATTAATTCCTGCTTTTATCCCAGTAACATTTCAGTTGCTAACTTTCCTTGTCATTTAGCAGTTCCTATTGACTAGGAATAGCAAGTTGTTTTAAAGAAGTAAAAAATAGTTGACTTTAATTATTCCATTATTAATTATTTAAATCTCATTTTCCCCAGCACTGACTACAGAAATATACTTAAAGTAATTTTGAACTATTACTGCTTCATAATAGCATCAAAATGATGACACTTTACTACTATCTCTGAGAAATTAACTGAAATTTGTGGGGAAAAGTATTTAATCAGTCTTTGACTTTATTAGAAAAAATAAGAATTTCTTTCCTCTAAGAATGCAGCTATATATTACTGCATAGCTGCATTTCTTTCAGTGAATTTGTTTATGTACGCTCATCCAGACAGATTGTGACAACATTTAAATACTCTGATGTACTTTAAAATCTGCTAATGAAAAGTACTACATACAAGATAAGTGTATAATATTAAGTCATTACAGACCAGCAAGCATAAATATTATAGGGACTGATCAGATATTTCAAGTAATAATTACCAATGATTACCAGACTGTCTGATACACATATTCTGTATAATCTGCAGAAATGTGTATTGTTTAAATCATTCACTAGTCATTGTCTTAAACAGAGTATTGGAAAAACAGACCTGTAGGCTCATCTCTTTGAAAATTTATGTAGGACTGCTACTAGGAATAGATCTCAAATATCACCATCTTAGTTTCACTTCTTACTACTGAAATTTTTGGGAGATCATCTTGTTCTTGCAAATCAACCAGCTTTTCTGTTTTGTTATTTGTATAGGTTCTGGATCCCTCAGGGCAAAATTTGAACTTTCAGAAGGACCCAGTAAACCAGCAACGCTTGCAGTGCAATTCATTAGTGAAGGAAGCACTCTTTCAGGAGTAGATGTGGAACTTGTAGGCACTGGCTATCGGCTTTCCCTCCTTAAGAAGAGATTTGCCACTGGTAAGACACTGACATGCTTGTATATCCAAATGAATATTATATATTCTATAAATTATAAAATATGAAACTGTTAGATAAGTGATGCATAAATAGTTATTTTTAATTAAAACATGGCTGAAAACTGTTTCAGAGGTTTTTGATTTTCCATAGTTACTCAGACTGTTCCCAGTGACAAAAATCTGTTTTATTTACTGACTGCAGAAAATCTGCCTTTATTTTTCAGGACGGTATATGGCAGACTGCTGATGTACCCAAGAAAGCCATTGGATCAAAGGAGTGTAAGAAGCTCACTCTGCCCTCTCTACTTTTTAAACACTATATTAACATGCATTAATTTTTTCAAAATGTTGACCAACTTTGAGGCTGAAGTACAGAAAATGCACTTTCTAAAGTCATTTTGCAAACTTTTAATTACTTTATAATAGCACTGAAGTTAACTTCAACACTGTCTGTAAATGATCAACTACAATATTTGGGGAAAATTGTTGAAATTTCAGTAAATTTACATAGATGAAGTTAAAATATTAGTCCATAGTTGCAATGAAAGTATGGAATTGTATGTTATACTGTAAACATTAAGCCTAAAAATGTAGGAGAGCAATTAAGAAATATTTGCGCTTTCCATAAGTAATATTAATTTTTCATATTTCTTAATTGCCACTTTTTAAAGAAAGCAGAGGCAAAGTCTCGTGTAGTTCGTCTATCCACTCATGCCACAAAACCAGCTGAGTTAGAGATGTATAAAAGAAATGTAACTTGATGCTCCTGTATCATATATTATTAACATGTAAGTTGGGTTATAAAGGTTTTTTTTCCTAAGTGCAATGTGTTACAAAATTGCAAAAGACAGCAGAGATTTACTTCTGCATTTAGTAAATTTTTGGGGTGTTTTGTTTGCTTTAATTAATGCTGTAGATTTAATTTATTTTTCTATGAAATGCATAACATTTGTGCCTTTAAAAAAAGCCTGTGCCTATCCAATTTTTTATTCACGTGCCTCACTTCCTGTTTCAAAGTTTGGCTCTTCATCAAGAAAGCACAGTGTTTGTATAATACACACAACTTTATAAAAAATCCTTTGACTGGGATTTATTTAGAAGGCAGATTTGCAAAAACTGGAGATTGTTTTAAAAGAGGTTTAAAATACTGGATTACTTCCTCATGGGGTAATTGCAATAAATGTGGTCATAGTAAAGGGAGATGCATCATGCAGGTCTTTGAAACACTGATACAGTAACTTTAAAGTCACCAGAGATGAGATGCCTGAAAAATCACCAACAGTGGTAAAAGCAAACAGCATTTCCCTTCACTGTGACTGCAAGTCTTTGGACTTAAGAGTGGATTTGGGGTTGTGTGATGTGAATGTAAACATAGTACTTTGGAAGGAATAGTGTTATAGAAGGGTATTCTATGGCGGCAGGATGACAAGTACTGCCCTTTCTATTAGTTTAAATCTTTTCCTTAGCCACCAATTTTAATATTTGTATTGTCATCTAATCTGCTTGCCACAGCCTAAGCACAGGGAAGTGACACATTAGTAGCATTTTTTAAAGTAAGTCACTAATTTAGAAAATCTTCTATATCTTCGTATTGTCAAGTATTTTTTCAGTGCTGAAATTAAAAGTATTGGGGCAAAATAATTCAATAAACTGCACATGGAAATTTCATGTGACCATTTTGAATACCAGTATCTATTTCAAATTGTCTATTAAAACCATAAAACATGCTTGAACTAATTCATGCAAAACCAGTAACGACTTGGACTGCTGAAGCTTTACAAGAAATTAAGCTTTGTAGAGGCTGCATAAATTCTAATGTATATCACACAGTTTTGCAGATGGAGAGTTTCGTTGTTAGCACTAAGTACATACTGTACTGTAGATTTGATTGGAAGAGTAGATTTGGCTCTTAATTTGCTAATCTTATTGAATGGTAAATTTTTAACTCATCAAATGGTACAGTCTTTTTACTGGAATCTTAATTGTAATCTGCTTTACAGTCAAACTGTGTTTAACATGACAATATTTTGTTAGTGAAAACTCAAAACTCTATTGCTATTCTTAATCAAGTATTACTTTCATTTCTAAGTTAAATGAAGTAGTTATGTTTCAGCACTTTTAAACTAGCCTTCATTCAGGTGATTATACATACATTTGCATTGGGTGCAGGTTACAATTTTGAAGCCATACAAGTTTATATAGACTTTTTGTAAAGAAATTCAGAAACAATGTAAAAAGTACCTGTAGCTATCTGATAAAAAACCCACGTATATAGCAAGCTGGTTCTTGCTTGTGTATACAGCAATATCCGTTGTAGCTGCCTCCTAAGAAAATTGATTTGTAAACACAGCTCTAAAGGATCTGAATTTTTATGAATTGTTACTACGTCAGACTGTAAATTAGAGCATACAAGTTTATCTTAGAAAAATTGTAAATACTTCTGATTTTTCATAAAATGTAAATTTTTAAAAAATTTGCACCCATAATAAACATGTAATATATAATTTAAATACTGATTTATAATGCCTATACTTTTGCAGTTAGTCCCACAGAGCTTCTAAGCAATAAGATAACAGAAGAAAACTATGCCTGTATTGAACATTTTAGAAGTGCTAATTGATTTTTAAGTGACACGGGGTAGATAGTATATGAACTCTTCTATATATGTAAAAAGATCACAGAGAAGGTAGGTGGAAAGATGACTTCTGCGAAGAGTTGTATCTTTACTAAACTGGAATGCCCGCGATGTCTGCAATTACTTATGCGTTTACTAAATTGATATGCTTAACTAATAACTTAGATTAGGTAAAACTCCAGATATGTTTATCAGAAAAATCTCGACTTGTAGACATGAACTGCCCTTTGTAAATAGTGCTATCAAATACATTCCCTAACTTCCTTAATAAGCTTATATTTTGTTGAATGCACAGGAAAAAAAAAAAAATTTGATTGAAGTAATTCAGATTTATGTTCCACTAGTCAAAAAAAGTAGGCGATTAAAGTACTACTTCAGCAGCCTGAGAATATTCCTTCTAAGTTGCAAGCACAGAAACAGAAGTTGAAACTGAACAAATGCATTTGAATCTGTTTCTTTCCTACTGATAACCACAGCCTGTGTAAGTTTAGTAATGACTTATTAAATTGACTTTCTCAGCTGGCTGGATATCACTGCAGTAAGTACCATTCTTGTCATGCTGGAAAGCAATAGTCCAAGGGCTTGATTCCTATCTTTTGCTGAAAAGCAGGAGTGAAGAATTCAAGTGCCCAACAGTCAGACCGAATGGTCCATCTAGCTCAGTAGTTTGTCTTCAACAATGGCCAATGAACAGACTATGGCATGGAGAGGCCACAAGCCATTTCCTTTCGAGTCCCTCAGCATCCTCAGTTATTGGTTAAGGATGTAAAAGGGTACAGCGCTGCTCAGTTCTTCTAGTATTCACTGAACGTAGTGTCTGAGATTACTGCTATGGCAGTTCTGTTAGCATTTGACCTTTGTTAACCGTAAGCCACTGCCCACATACTACTCACAACTACTATAAACTGGATTTATACTGCTCAAGCAAGTTTGTGATTATCTAAGTACATGATCAGGTAGTTTTTCAGGGATAACTGACTACCTCTACCACTGCCGAATAATATTTATGTTGGGTATTTGAAGGAGCTAAGGTATTTGATTATCAACTGGAACAGCATGGGAGTTACAGGTGTAGTGGATTTTGCTATCTAACTAGAAAGGAAGGTCTTGCATCATGCCAGAAAGGATTACATTTCAAATCTTGTGTGTTTGAGAAGCTTAAGATAGGCATCTTAATATCTGTGTACCTTTTTTTTCTTGGAATTGCTAGATAATTGGTTTCCATTTCAGTTGTCATGAAAGAGCAATTTTAGAGCATGCAAGAAAAAAAACTGGGAATTCCTCCAAGGACAGAGTAAGCTAAAAACAGTTCAGGGTACTAAAGCAGCAAATAACATATTTACTGTGTGGTGCACTTGATTGGACTGATTACCGGGCCTCTTAATTGAAAACAATGTTTATCTTCAACTCTGCATATTATTACAGTACTGAGTATTCCTTCTCAACTCAGTTTGACCTCAGTTTTTACTGACATGTTGCTTTTTAAGTTCTCCCATAGTTCATTCAATAACAAATAGAAAACATACAGCCTTTAGAGAATAAAATAATTTTTAAAACACAAGAGGTCTCTTCTGGATTACTTATTAAATACTTAATACTAAAATTCTGCCTTTTCCATAGGTGCTTTTGCTTCCTTTGGGATCCATTCTTTTTTTAAATCTGGGATGGCTATTTTAATTTTAGCCTAAAGTATGATTTTGTTTGCCATTATCCCAGCTGTATTTCTTTTAAAAAGCCTTGTTCTGTAACTTAGCTCTTTTTTTAATTATTAAAACTCAGCTGTTTCTTTTTTAAGAAGCAGGTTAATAATCACAAGCCATAAATCATGCCAGTTTCACCACTCTGATTACGATTCAACTTTTCCTCTTTCCTCTTAGCATCACCCAGTCTGCCTTCTTGAAGTTCTTATTTCCTAAGTCATGTTTTCTGCTCCAGAAAATTAGCAGTGGTCATATGTTCAGTGATGAGTCAATTCTTTCTTCATCACGGGTAAATGAAGCAGCCCATTTTTACAGCAATTGCTGGTTCTGCCCTCCAGATGTCCCCTCCTGCTTTATAATTATAGATAAACTCCTTCTATAATATGCACAGTCTTCCACTTTCCACTACTGGAAAATTGGTAGGTTTTATCAATACTCATCACTAATAGAAAAATCTTAAAGCTGTCCCAGTGTTAATACTGATGAGACATTGCATCCAGGCAAGATGCACCAGTACAACTTGGGAAGGAAAAAAACCCAAAACACAACAACCCAAGCCCAAAAAGTTACTTACCTTTCACATATGTTGCACACTGTTTCTCTGGAGTCTTGCAGAACTGTGAATTTTGACAGAGAACCAAAGTTCAAACAAACACAACTTTCAGCCCCTGACTAAGCACCTGACTTCATTCTTGAACACAAGTTTGTCCTCCACATGTCAGAATCCCTCAGCATCTATCTGTATGCAAGTCCTTTTTTGCTTCTGAGCATTCCTAGACACTAAATACTTGGGTATGTGAGCACAGGAGGAATGTAACAATCTGTGATCTGCCATCTCTGTAGCTGACATCTCTCCAAGTCTCAGCTGTCTGTTCCCATAGCCAAATGCTGCTGCATCTTTTCTCCTGCTGAAATCACATTTCCATGTTCTGAGTCACTTGATAACAAACAGTAGGCTGGATGTCCACTTCTAGTGAGAAGACAGAATAAATATAGTTTTATTTAAGATATAAAATGCAGAAGATTTCTTGATCTAAGAATTGCATCTTGTACATCTAGGACAAGAAACTTGGCCTCAGATGAACAAACTGGCATAACTTCTCTAGGCAATATAGAACAAACACTATACTCACAGGAGACATCATAAGGAAAATACATGGAAAAACAAATGTGGGCTCCAGCATTCTCTTTAGTTTAAGGGGAAGAATATGTATTTGACACAATTTTCCCATAGAGGTGAAAACTTAAAAAAATGTCAATGGCCATTACAGCTATTCTCAGCATTTTGCAAGATATTTAAGGAGACCCTCAACCTTCTCAAAACTGAAGTTTTATCTTTAATACTGTGGGAGAGCATGCAGGTTGTCTTCCCTTGTAAGAAGTGCTGCTCTGTCCACATAGCTATGAGCTAGAATGTGACATTACTTCACTCCATGCTGACCGAGCATGGGCAGCATAGTTCACTTCAGTGCATCAGTCTCTGCTTCCAGGCAACAAGTTTCCTAGAAGGAGAAGTGGAGAACCTGTTCCCCCATTTCCCTGAGCTATGACCTTTCCAGATTGCTCAAAGTGGCAGCACTTTTGCCAGCTGATCCCCAAGAGACACCACAAAAATACACATTAGAATTTAGAGGGTTTTGGCAAATAGCATTTTCTAGCCTTTCCTCCAAGGGATTATCCAGCTTAAAACAGTCCTACAATAACCTGGTTTTGATCAAAAAGGGTAAAACCGTAATTTATGTTTCAGGAAGCAGTTCGTCCCCTGTGTGACAGCAGCAGTGCAGTGTCCTGCTTTTCATACTATCTACAATTAGGAAAAGCCAACAATTGTCACAAGTTGAAAACAAGCTTTCAAAAAATGTTCCATCTTCCTTAAGTGGTAACTGTTATCTCAGCACCAATTTATAAGCAAAAATTATGCTGAGTTTTGCTCTTAAAGAGTCATTCCCAGCCCAGGAGAACATTGACACAGCTATACCTCCTATTCAGAAGACATGTTCCCTATTTCAACTACTAACAATAGTCTACAAGCTGTTATTTTAGCATCTGAAGCAAATCTTAAGACCTTACTCCTACGTCCAGCACCACCAGCAGCCTGCTATGCGCTCCAAAGAAGTTGTAAGGTATTCACAGCATAATGTGCCATATACAACAGTTTAAAAGTAAGACAGATTTCCACATCACCCTGTAAAAGTTAACTGGCAACATTTGGAATCTCCTGACACTGTATTTGAAGCCCCATAATCTCTTCTACTGTTTTTTCTCTGGAATTAAGAAAACAATAGGCTATTTTTAAGACCTTGGTTAGTGTTCATAGTGAACAACAATATTTGCAACCACCCATCTGTCCAGTCCAAAGATGTATTACCCAACTGCATTAAAATTCTTCTCAAGTCTCTTCTGAACGCTTTCTTTCAGTTAAAGGATCTTCTATTCTCTTAGACTTTTTAAAGTATTCTGTACTTGCCTCTGTGTCTCCACCATAAATATTTAGCAAAGCTTTCTTCACCTCTCTCCCAGCAAGGTAGGTTTTTTTCTACTGTTATTGCTGCCACTAGCTATATTTAAAGACACACATGAATTGTATGTTTACAATAGATACACAACCAGATCTAACCAGGTATTTGCAAATACTGATTCAAATGAATGTTAGGTCACATCAGGTACATTTTTCAGTGTTCCCCCCAGACTTCACTGGCTCTACAGAGAATATTCTCGGTATGTTGTACACACTCCACTGTCATCTCTGTAATCCAACTAAGGTAACTGTAGCAATCAGGTCAAGGAAAGGAATATGTTAAATGCAATGTAGGAGTATTTCTGTAGTGAAGAAACGTGCCATCCTTCCAGAATAAAGCACCCTGCACAGAGATGCAAGAGACCTCCTTGCTGTAGTCAAGATGTACTTGTAAATCAGAAACACAGAGGGCTGCCCATGAGGACCATGTTGGAACTTCTGACAGTCTGCTCAGACCTTGACTTAGAGAGATACTGTTAGCATTGGAATGATCTGCTGTCAGCCATATCTAATCTTGGAGACTCCCTTTGGCCTGTACTTTCCTGAGTTAAGAAATTCTGTAATTGCTGTACAGCAGCTGCTTTCCTCTAGGAGGGTCCTAAACTTCAGAAGCTCCCATGCTTGCTGGCTGTGAGCTGATTATGGGCAATTCATTTGTAGTGCCCCAAACAGCTGAAAACTGGAGGTTGGAGCATAGAGGTTGTGGAAAGAAATAAACATAAATGAAGCACTCTCTGATGCAGTCACCAGACAAAGAATCATAAACTATACCTCATTTTAAGCTGCCTGGCTGGACTTCACAACCAAATATTAGTGAAAAGCAAGTCACCATTACTTGATTGAATTTGTTGTTTATAATCAGATTCAAATTGTATGGGCAGGTGGTACTTCAGGTCAACTTTTAGATTTTTCTAGATGCTCATAAATCAATAATCCCATGATTGAGATTGAGATGCCTACATGAATTAAAACCAGCCAAACTGGCTTAGGCTACAGTTTCATGATGAGCCTGTTGAGCAGTTCAATATTGCCAAAGGATGTAGGCCATGTTCTCCGTCTTCACCCACCACACCTTGTACCAGCTCTGTTGTGCATCATATCTATTTATGAGTCAGCTTTACTCACCAACAAGATACACATGGAATGCAGAGGGGGAAGAAGAAAATATTTATGCTAAATTAAGCCACCTGAACCAGGTTGCAGCATGGTCTGGCAAACACCGGGCACAGGTCCCAGCCTAAGAGCACGGAACAGGTAAGGAACGAGATCTTCCCCTTTTGGCAGGAACATATCATTGGGCTGGCTCAGATGTTCACTAAACCACAGCCAGAGGGGAACTAAAAGCAACTGGCTCCAATGACATAATGAAAGACTTCTCTTAATGATGGCTAAAAAGCCTAAAGTCATAAACTGCAAGAGATTGATAAGAAATGCAAATAAACACCGGGGGTACGAAAGTCCATGTAGATAGTTTAACTGAGGGTGATGGAAAGGAGTTTATTCTGAAAAACAACACAAATGTCTAACTTCCACTGTGTCATCAGACCCATACTAGCTGGAAATGCCAGAACCAGTAAGAACACAAAACAGGGAGAAAGAAAATTACTTGATAAATACATTGCCACATTTCTTACAGGATATCTAGATTATGTAGTCACATGGTGAAAATACTTTGCAGTCCAACAGTATCTAAAGAGAGATATTAACACATCATCTACTAAAGCTAAATATTTTTAAACTAGCAGATCAGATAAACAACATCCAAGAATTCAGTAAATTGAATAAGCCATACTATGGACCATTAATTTTTATTTACTTAAAATAATATGCTTAATTTAAAATGCTTTTTAAAAAGTCCTTAAAATAATATGCTTAAAAACTCAAAATGCTGGAAAGTATTAGAAGATTAGAAGAAAGCTAACAGTGCACCATTACAAAAAAGAGGGGGAAAAAAAAAGGTGACAATCCAAATAACTGTAATATAGAACTTGATAACAAAATTAAAATAGTTAATTAGTATCTGTTATGGATGTGCTGAATAGAGTCTTAAACTAATTTAGGATTAGGTTTAAAAACTGGATCATAAGAGTAATAGGGTCAAAGGAAAAAATGATTTATGTAAGATTCCCGATTTAGCAGTACACAACATTCTGGCTTATAACTAGAGCAATGCAAGAACATGACAGATTAAAAATTAGTCTTAAGACATAATTAAAAGGGGAATCAACTTTAAGCGCATTTCTGGTGGATTCCTGCAGACTTCATAATATTTAATACTTTTCCAGTTATCTGATATTAAAATACTGAAGTTTTGCAGATGACAGAAGACTGAAGGAGAAAAAAAAATAAATTACATCTCAGGTATAAACAGTTTTCACCACTTAATCATCA